AGGATATCAAGCATTGTGATGAAAAGGATGTCCTGCATCATTGTAAACAATGGGTAATGACTTTGGTTCATGTGCCCATCTCGTGCAAATTTCAAGCCTCACAAAAAGGCGAAGCACCTACTGACTGACTGACTTTTTTTTTTTTGGAAAACTCAATATTAAACGGCCGGCCTACTCCCTTTTTGTTAATGTTTCTGTAAAGCAGCATTTATTTTCTGAAAACCGAAAGAACTGTGGATGCTATAACTCAGGAACAAAAACAGAAGTTGCTGGAAAAGCTCACAGGTCTGGCAGCATCTCCAAAGAAAAAGTCAGAGTTAACGTTTCGGGTCTGATGACCCTTCGCCAGAACTATATTTGTTTTAAAAATGGAGAGCAGTAATTCCATTTGTTTTCTAATACTTTACCTTTGTAGGTAAGAAACAACGGTAAAGATTGGACAGTTCATTGGTGGAATCTGAAATCGACAAAGCTGTTGTGAAAGGGCCAAGCATCTGGCACCATTCTGCCACTACTAAGTGATTTGACATAATATTCGTAATTTCACATCTTGCTGTTACCAGTTGGACAGTGGAGTGCATGGTCTTCATAACTTGATCGTAGCAACAGTCAAAATCAGACCCTTTCCACTGCTCATATGTTCTGTCTTCTGCAACCAGAATCTCAGCACAATCTTACTTGCGATAAACAAATGTCAGATTAATTAGAGGATATCTCATGATCGCCATCCTGATATGTCGCAATAATGAATTGGTACAAATATAATATACTTATGTCGTTTTCTGAAGTAATAAATGATTTCTTTTATAATGCCTAACATGTAGCTAACTTAATCATTATCTTTTCTTTTTTCCCTTACAGATTATGAAAATATCTTCTATTTATTGAGACTAGTGCAAGGTAGTTTGGAAACCCGGATGATGTTTGTGCAAAATGTCATCAAAGAAGCAGCAAGGTAATATCTTAACTAATGACGAAATGGCATTTCATGGAGATTCCAAATGACTTTCAAGTCTGGTAAACCTTAAGTAAATAATCAAATGCAGCCAAGCTGAAAAAGAATGCATTTGTAGCAATTCAATCAGGTCATTTCGATTTTCACCAAATGAAGCTTCTCCCATTCGCATTTTAGGCTGATCCATTTTGTTGTTTTATTTAAAATCCACTTTAAACTTTAGAAAGGCTGTTTCTCCCATTTGAATCTCATGATTTGTTTCTGGTACTATTTTACAACGTGGTTTTAAATGGCTCAAGCCCATTAAACAGTAAAGGAACAGTCACCTATCATCTGGTTTTGAATAGAATTAGATATTTTCAGAATTCAGCCATCCTTCTAAATAGGCCTTAATTCTAATTTGTGAAATGGAAGTGTTTACAGGTAGACTACCTCAAAGTTAACAGAATCAGAGCAAACTTTTGCCAGATTTGCATCTTTCAAGTTTTCGGTTTGGGTGGTTTGGAATGGGCAAGTAGATTAGTGAAGGACTGCTTTTCAAATAAGGATTGAGCAAAGCAGCTTTGAAAGAGTGGATGCTGCAAGATAGGCTAAGAAATTCTTCAAAACTGCTTCAGGTCAGTCAGTGTTGCCATTACTAGAGCAGTTATGTTTACAATGCCACTGACCTTTTATTTTCTTTGTATTCATTCACAAGATGTAGCCAGCATTTATTGCTCATGACTTATTGTCTGTGAAATGGTGCTGTTGGTTTGTAGGCTATTTCAGATGGCAATCAGCCATATGTTGTGGTCTCAAGGGTCATGTAGGCCAGACTTGCTAAGGATAATAGATTAGTGGACTAAATCTTCTGTTGCACCAGCATGTTTCAATGACATGTTCCAACCTGGGTTGGGACAGTTCTGGACATGTGTTGGAGCAAGTCAGTGCCACACTGTATCGTAGGCAGCTGAGTGGCACTGTGCCTATCTTTCATTTTCTTTTGGAAGCTCTTTTCAATGTAGATGGCGAAATGTCAGTACTTGATAAGTTGCTGTGCCACTTACAGAAATCGATTTGACTTTGAGGATGTCTACTTCCAGAGATGTGCATTGGAGGAAAAATGCTTAAAAATCTTAATACATGCAGAAAGTAGTGAAATTAGCTGGCTGCCCATGTGAAAATTTACTAGGTTTTTGAATGGCAATCATTTTTGGCTTATGTCTGACCAGTTTAAGCTGTGGATTCTTGTAAAAAATGGTCAGCCAGGCAGGAACATGAAGCTGGATTGTTTAGGGGAGTTCTGGTTGGTGTTGTCATATCCTGCTCCTTTTCCATTTCTCAGCCTCTTAATGCTTTATCTAGTTTTGTAGAGTTGAAGCATTTGTGACTACTGTGCTCTGCATGTGCCAGTGTTCTTTTTTCAATTCATTACACATTATACTTTGACACTTTTTTTTCAAAAAAAAAAAAAAAATTCTTACATGAAGCGGATGATTAGCAACTTGATTTGGGGTGACTGATAGTCACTTTAGAACATGAGGATTTTGGGCTGCTCGGACTGATTAAAGCTCCAGCCTTTCTGGTTTGGAATCCATTGCATTGAGCCCTGCTGTCATCTCCTGCCGTCTGGCACAGTGTGCAGCGTTGAGAGTCTTAAATGAGATGGTCAGTTATATCTGACTAACCGAATGGTTAGTATTCCTATCTGAGTGCTGCACTCTACATCAAGGTCTGGGACATAAATGGGTCACTAGCCATGAGGGACAGCTGTGCAAGTAGCTTTGTGAATGAGTGGTTAGGTATGCTATTGACATGTTGGAAGGATTCGGATATCTTTCCAACCACGAAAAGTATGATAAAAGCTGCAGTTGGTCAGATTTTGAAAGAGAAAGCTGAGGGCTTTTGTCTTGATTTGAATAGAAATGTTCCTGGGCAATTAATGGTCTCAGTTGATTCATGAGATAACTTGTTCGGGTAAGAAAGTACCCCTTTTTAGTTTATTGAATCAAAGTAATTTTTTTTAACGTTGATGAGGCAGTTTAACAAGGCAAACCATGTCTTTGATTTGGCACTTGTTCTAGCCACAAAAATTAAAGAATTGTGATCAACAGACCAGGTTTGGGCAAATAGGTCATATTGGTACATCCACAGGTTATGCTGTAGTATACGGAGTTAGAATTAATATGAGTGACTCCTAGAAAAGTCAGAATCATAGACCATAGTTTTAAAGTCAGGAAGATATATTGTAGTAAGAAAATTAGCTTGAATTTTGAGAAGTAAGCTTTAATATGTTTTCTTGTTTTAGGGAGTAGGGACAACAGTAAGGAAGAGATACTTTTTAAACCAGTATCTTTTCAAAGGAAAATACATGATTGTGATTCCTAAAGAGTAGAGATGCATGAGATTAACTGCATCTGATACAAACAGATGGAGGAATGAAAATTTATCCAGGACAACTTAGTGAACTATTTAGAATTGCCCAGATATCAGAAAACAGCAAAGTGAACTGTAAGAGTGTATGATGCCCAACAACTGCAGGAATGAGCCTGAAAGAGGGAACTAAGCAAACAGTATTATCAATGTTAGTCACTTTTATGCTCATCTAAATTGAATGATGTTTTATCCACGTCTGTTGTGGGTTCAGCAAGTTTATGATGGATATTTATAATGTTGCACTAAAAATTCTCATTATTTATTCTCTCACATAGGTTTAAAAAGCGAGTACTAATTGAAGAGCTGGAAGGGATTTTGGAAGAAATACAAAGTAAATCCAGTCGAGCAAATCATATCAATAACCGATAATGAATCCTGAGAAACTGTGAGACTGGACTTTTTTTGGTATTCTCTTTCAGCAGTAAAGAAAGCCCCATCTGGACCCCTCAAGCTTATTTTTACTATACATTCACAGGTCTACGCTAAAATTTGTTTTAATTTTCCTTTGCACCATTAGACTATCTGGACCTTGGCTAAAGGAGTATTTTTAAATTGTGCCATCTGATGGTGTATCTGCCACTTGGTTAATAAGATGTTTATACAATACATTCAGTATCCTGGGCAAGGGGTTCTTCACTACCCCAGCAGATTACTTGTATGTAATTTTTACCTTCTGAAAGCCACCGTTTTGTAGGAACAATTCCTTTCTTTGTTAACCCTTGTTTTTGTGTTGAAGCAGCTTGCTTCATTGATAGGTTAGATCATTTTGGCAAAAGATGAAACCCTATTAGATTTTGTTACGTTGGAATTAAAGGAAGAAATGCCTTTTGCATCCGATGACTTTTGAAATGTGTTTTTGTCTCGTCTGCAATTTGTCACAGTTTCCTTCTAGCCTGGCTTAGCTTCCCCAGGTCAACCCTTCCAGTAAACCCTTGGGACCTGGCCCTTGCCAAACCAACTGAATTCTCAATATAAGGACATTTGTCTTAAAGCTAAGATTTGTCTATAGCAAATTATTTTTGAATGGAACACTGTGTGTTGTAAATGGCCATATTTTGAAAATTATTTAAAATGCTTTTGTTACAATTTCCTGCATTAAAAAAATCTATTTTACATTGACATGTTTCATTTGCGTATGTAACTAGTTAGTTGGATTGTGGGTGCCTTCTGGCCAAAGTGAAATGACCAGTTCCATTGCAATAAGAGCATTGCGGTTGCATTGGAGGCCAGATTTGTAATTATTGACTGTTTGTTTTCTTTGCTATGTAGGACTCTAGCAATATACATACACAAGCAGCATTAGGTTTGGATTGAATTTCCATTTTACACAAGGCAGCCTATATGTTTTGAAGTGGAATGAATGGCCGAGGGATAACATTTGGGAAAACTGTATATCAAGTCTTAACCATTTAAAATTCCTGTGGCTCTGCTGTTTCAGTAAGTGTTACATGTGCAGGTGTCAAGTGCTATTAACAGGTGCTGAAAAATCAGGGGAGTAATCAGCCAGGATATTGGTGACCAGGACTTGTCATATTCTGTGTACATGTTAGCTGCATTCTTTAGCATCACAATTCCGTCATTTTAATTAAGGATGGTTGTAAATGCATACAAACTTAGTTTGTCACTCCAAATTCATCTCTAACAAAAATTCTGCATCGTGAATATATAATCACTCCAAGGTAGATTATTGTTTGCTGTTCAAATTGACAAGATATTTACTTGAGGTCTATAAATTTCTCCAAGAGCAGAAGTCTTATTTTTAAATTCAAAACAGGACGGGTAGTAAAACACTTGGAGATGTGTTTACTCAAGAGGATCCATTACTCGGCCCATGAAAAGAATTCTTCCTGTAGAATTAAATGGACAATGTTAATAGTAATCCTTCACATATATCAAAATCAAGTTCACTCAGTTTGTTCAATTCGAATACTACATAATGTTAGTTATTAGCCCATTATGAAAGAGTGATGTTTTTGAGCTGCAGTTACAAATGAGAAACTGTTTGATTTAATTCTAGTCTATATGCAAGATATGACTGATATAATTGCCAAAAACATGCAAAGAATTTTTATAGTCCACCTAACCATTGTTCAGACATCCGTTAGAATATGGTAAGTAATTCTGGGCTCCATTTTTTAGAAATGATGTCAAGGCTTTGGTATAGAGCAGACTTACTGGATGAGGGACTTCAGTTGGATCTGGAAAGCTGGGATCATTCTCGGAGCAGAGAAGGTTGAATAAGGTTGAGTTTTGATAATGGTATTCAAAATGTGGAGGTTTGGTCGATTTAGGTAGGAAAGTTGTTTCCATTGGCAGCAGGATAAGTAACCAGAGGATGTGGATTTAAAATACTGAGCAAGGAAGTCAGGAGATGAGAATTTTTGTTTTTACCTGGCATTCTAGATGCTGAGAGCAGATTCAATTGTAATTTCGTAAAGGAAATTAGACCCCTGCTTGTCAAGAATGGAAGGTGAGAATGGAGCTACTTAAACTCTTTTGGAAGAACCAGCACAGGGCTGACTCGCCTCCTGCTGTGCTACGTGATTCTAATGCAGAGTTGAGGAGCAAAGTCCTGTCAAAAAGGAATCTCAAAGACCTACAGACAGGTGGTATATATTTTATTATCATCAGCTAGAACGTAGTCTGAAGTGACATGGCTGTGTTCATTTCTGTCCTGCAGCGAGTATCATAGGTCCACCTGCAAACCATGGAGCAGTGTCACTGTGAGAAGTAACCACATTATATAGTGTCCTTGTCAGCGCTGTGGATGAAAGTGTAGCTTTCTGCATTTCTTGCTAACAGGATTTTCTTCATCCCTACTTCAGCCCATCTGCTGAAACTCTCCTGTGTCTTTGCCACCTTCAAACTTCATTTGCTCCATGCTTTATGGGCAAGTCTCCCATCTTGCCCCTTCTCTGAACTTGAGCTTATCTGAAACTCCTATCCTAACCTGGACTAAGTCCTGTTCACCCCATCACCTGTGTTCTCATTGACTCAATCCTGAATGCTTGACATTCTTATCCTTTTGTTAATCTTGGCCCTTCCTCCTTACATTCCATAAGAGCTCTGCGTCTCTCCACCTGTAGCCCATGTTGCATCCTTTTCCCCTTTGCTGTACAATCAGCAGCCACCTCCGTCTTTTGTTTGATAAGATTGACTTTGAGGAATCCTTCCTAAAGTATCTCCTGACGAAGATTTTAGTTTGTCTTATTTTCTATTGATTTGGTTCAGTAGCCATTCTTGGCTGTACTCCTTTACCTGACATGTTCTTCTACATTATAGGTTTTCTTTGCACAGTTGTAATTAACGTTGTTACAGAGATAGTAGGAACTGCTGATGCTGGAGAATCTGAGATAAGGTGTGGAGCTGGATGAACACAGCAGGCCAAGCAGCATCAGAGGAATAGAAAGGCTGATATTTCGGGCCTAGACCCTTCTTCAGAAAAAATTTGAAGAAATCTGAGTTAATGTTGATTTCTTTCCAGTGGCTGAGGATCAAGTACATTCTGTGGGAGATGTAGTCAAATCTTCCTACCCATTTTTTTTTGGTTCACACAATTACTGTGGAAAATATCGTACAGTAAACTGACCTAGAGCTGCTGCAACTGAAGATGAATTGTATTACCTATGATGTGTGTAAATAATGTAAATACATTACCTGTGATGTGCCGTAGGAGAAAGAAAAATGGCCTGTCAGCCTTAAAAGCCAGGGCTCGAGACCTTTTCAGTAAAACCACAGCTAAAACCAAATGAAATATAGTTATAAAGATTATTGTCTGAATTGGGTCATTTGAAATAATTTGTGAAATATATTTGTTAAATATTTTATGAACTACTTTATAGGTTTGAATAATATTTAATTCACGTATTTTACACATGCATTTGTCTTAACTGTTTGTATTTCTTCTCCCACCTACTAAACTTTTCTCTCCCTGTACTCCACTTGAATCTGAAGTTTTATAGGTGCAACCAACCCTCTGATGCCTCACTTGTGTTATTTCTGAAATCCAAGCTTCTTGAAACACTTCTGGCTGCGATTGCAATCCACAGATTTTCTACACATGAAGTCTGTCTGTAGCAATAGAAATCCAGGCACTTGCCTCACCTTGGTGTCTGCTGCGCCATCTGAGAATAACTGAGTCTCTTCTTTTTCGATGTATATGACCCTGTTGTTAGTCCTATGAATGTTGCCTGTGAGTGGATTTATCCTTTATATTCCCCTTCAGCCCTTTACACAACTTTCATTTTGCTTCTTTTGACGGAATTGCTTGTTTCTATAATTTTCTGCCATGAGTTTTATTTCCCTTTTATAAACTGAAGTGATACTGTATCCTGAACTTGACAAATTTTAAACATGGCAAAAGGTCTTTGTTATATACAGAACAGATGAAGAGAAGATGGCTTAGTGGTGATATTGGATTTGTAGTCCAAAGGCTGTGGCGAGTTATCTGGGGGACACCGGTTCAAGTTCCACCACAACAGCTGATAAATTTAAGCGAAAAATCTGGAATTGTAAACTAATGTCAGTGGTGATTACAAAACAACCACCTTGTTCACTAATGCCCTTTAGGGAAGGAAATCTATTGCTCTTACCTGGTCTGGCCTACATGTGACTCCAGACCCACAGCAATATGGTTAATCAGCCTCTGAAATGGCCAGAGCAAGCTGCTGTGTTCAAGAGGAAGGGCAATGGGCAACATATGCTGGCCATGCCAGTAATATCCAGAGTGAGGCAGGGGGATAAATGGAAAAGAGACTGTTTATTATCATTGTGTAATGCATTTTCCTTCATTTCCCTTCTCCCCTTGGGTAGTGGCTGTGCTCTCCAGAAATATGTCAGGGTTATTTTATGGCCTTTCACAAACAGAATTTTGTTGTTTGAATGCCCTTGCACAGGGAAAGAGCCAGGAAGGTCCTACAAACAGCAAGGAGGGAAATGACCAGGTCATTTCTTTTGTTATTTGAGGGTCACGACTCCCCCTGTTACTGTTATTTACGATACTGAGAGATCTTCGTCTTTTACGGTCACCAGAAAGGCCAGACGTTTTAAGGCCAGTACCGGAGTGTCAACATGCGCTTGATGTTGTGGTGCCTGGAGTGGGACTTGAGTCTTCTGTCACAAACCAGAGCATAACCCATAGCTGATTCAATGGATTTAAGGTAAATTTGGCATGCTAACTTTTTAGAAACACGAGGTTTCTTGTCGGAGTGCTGCATCTGACATCCCAATGTCAAGAAACAGGTTTGACCTTAGTTTTGTACATGAGATAAACATCTGTATCATTCTGTTGAAGAAATTGTTCATGGTCCTCTGGGAATGCTTCTTGGAAACAGTAAATACCTGTAGCAGCTGCTGCTTCGGTGCCATCCTCTGTTACTTCTATTTTTGCTTCATGGATAGCTTCAGAAACAAACAGCTTTTCCTGCTCTAAAATTGTGAAGCAGCACCAGTTATTACTGAAATCTCATTTTACATTTCATACTGGAACTAGAATTTTGGTTTCATTCATTGGTGTTAGCCAGAAAGAAATTTGCTTTTATTAATGTTGGAAAAGGAAACTTAAAATGTCAGCAACTAAATCACTTCTTCGTATGAATTGAAAATTTTGACATGGAATGACCCAGCTTGTTAGTACGGATTACAGTATTGAAAGAGCCTTATTAAAATGTTAAGGTTTTAACCAATACATTAACTTAGCCTGGCTTACCAGAAATTCCACTGAAGTCTGCTTTGCTGGGATTGAAAAGGTCAGTGATTCCCAGAGTGGTCAGCACTGTCTTAAGGTTGAATTTACTTTGAACTTTAAACCTGTATGTTAAGGTGGGACAGGACACAGTCAGTTTTGAGTTTATTGCAATTGCAGTAGTTTTAAGCACAGTGTAACTAGGCTGGACAGTAAATCTCAGCTGATGTTTCATGAAGAATAAAATCTAAACTACAAAGACCAGGGTTGGAAATGTGAGGTGTTGGAAACTGAGGGTCATTATAACAGCATGTCAGTATGCAAATGTGCAGTCACAGAGTGGAAAGATACAAGTTTAATTTCTCACCTTACCGATTACCTGCTGCACATGTGCTTCCTACAGAGAAACGCAGGACCCCCCCACCCACCACCGGTCACCTGCTGGTAGATTAAGCTTGGGATTGAATGCGTTATCGTTTGCTTCAAGAACAGAATGGTATAGTGTGAGAGAACAAGTTGAAGGAGCAAATTGAGCATCCAAGCATTTCTTAATGCCAAACACTACATTACCAAAGCTATTGCAGTATTTCGATTCCATATTGGTGAAGCAATACGCCATGATGCCTGCTTCATGAACAGTTTTATTTGTTAAGAGGTCAAGGCAAAGAGTCACCCTAAGGGGCGAGAGAAAATCCCCTGACCTTGCTGACTTGTGTCCGTGTTTTTGCACAGCTGAATAGCAGACTGACTGACCATCCTGCAGAATAACATTGGGTGGATAGACAAAAGTGAAAAATGACTCTTTAGTGTTAGGGTAAAATCTGTGGCTGTATTTCTTTAGTTTTACCTCCCTATAGATTTTAGTTCATGCTTTTGGGATAGTGGGACATGGGTGGGGGAGTAACCTTTGTCCCTGCCTATTTGTAGATCTTAAGTAATCCACTCTAAAGGATCATGCAACTTTGTTAGTTGCCGATCTTGCCTGGTGGTATAATGATGGCTTGGGCAGGGGATAGAACTATGATGGTCTAGGGCAGTGCAGAGGCAGTTCTGCTGAATGTCTAGCTGTGCTACGTCTGATCTGGGAGATCATGACACTGGAACTCGAGCAATGAGGGGTGTAATACCTACTAAACAATTCAGAGTGTGATAACTAAACCAATATTTAAGATAAGTCTCCAGCATTGAAGTAGCTATTGTTGTAATTTGGAAGCTCATCATCAGCTAAATTAGAGCTTTGTTTTAAAATGTAAAGCTAAAATTGCACTCCCTGTCACTTTATAATAAGTGTCATTTTCAGCAGATCAATGTGTTTGGAGGTGACTTGATTGAAGCTATTACGTTTCACAGTTCAGCCACTGCAAGAGTTGAGATTTCTACTGATTTGAAAATAGATTTCTGGATTTGGTCCTCTGTGTCAATTCATGTCATTGCTACTATCAGGTTACTGAGAATCCCAAAAGGAATTACAATAAGATGACTTACTTAGGTAAGAAAACTTCCATTTTCATTCTTCGCATGCTGTTGGTCCATGCTGAAAGGGTGTGAGCTGTGATGTGTGACTCTACAGAGGAGATGGGCTTTTCTCTTTCACTGGGAATGACGATGAGCATGCTCACTGCATGTTCCAGGTAGCCGAGTTCAATCGCTTTAAACCTCTGATTACTTCTAGTCTTGACCTGGCCTGCAATTTATTAGGCAGAGGGAAAGTATTGGTATTTAAAGCCATCTTGGCAGGAACAAAGTACTATCAACTAGGTCAGGTTTATCTCAAATACATACTCTCAGTGCTCGAGTAGTGGTCAACCTGGTGTAAAAGTTAACCCTCAACATTTGGTCAAAAGAAATATCATTTTTTGTATCTCCTGTATCAATCCATGTCCAACTTTTGGTCAAAATGTTTTAAAATTCTTTCTATGTAACACCCAGTCACTGCTGAAATGACACTCCCCCTCGACAAACTATCTCATTAACAGGATCGTAAAATAGTACACCAATGAAGGTGGCTGATGAGACCCTTGTGTCTGCACATCAATGTGGTCTTAAGGTTGTCACCTCACGGTGCATACATTGGTTAAACCTCTAGCCTTAAACAAGACTTCCACGTTGTGTATATACAGTACAGCAATTGTTTTTATATTCAGGAAGGTCGGAAAGAAATTTTGAGGACGGACAGGCTCAAATACAAATACTCTGTTCTCCTTTTGCAGATTTTATGCTTAAATCTCAGTCAGTGCCTTATTTATCTGTTATTGGAATAATCCCCTGCAGGGAGCAGGTCTAGCAAGCTGCAACTTGCTGATTGAAAAACAAAAGAATATTTTCTCTGTTGGATGAAATATTGAGTCGTTTTAGACAAAATAAGAGACAGTAGGGCCTTATAACTTTATAAGGCAAAAATTGGATTACTCTGTAAGCTGACTTTCAGCATTTCAACCAGAATGGTGAAACCAGGTGAAGGAACTGGAGATTGAGAAACACCAAAACTACACACAATCTAGTGGAGCTAGTTGTCTGAACGCATCCAAGTTTCATAAAGAGACTGATGGAATTTTTTCCACAGTTGCCATAAAGGACCTGAATGGTGAATTTAAAACACAGGGTTACTGAACCAACTGTTTTCTTTTGGTCAGAATGTTGATTTTTTTTTTTTTTTTATTTTGTTCAGAAACATGAAAAATACTGGGAAGGATTGTTTTAAATTATGGCAAATGTTACCCAAGATTTAATTAGGCTTGAGAAAGGGCAGTGCGGAATATCCATTGATATATGATGGTCATGTAACATTTTTTCTCCCATATGAATGCTCAAGTTTGCGAGACTAATATTGACCAGATAGCCCCAGGTCACTGATACTTTTGGCTGAGGATATCAAGGTACTTGGAGCAAAGGTGGCTTTCTAGAGTTGAGTTGTAGATTATCATGGTTTCAGGGGGTGACTGGCTGAGTTGTATTCGTCCATTGTAAACCCTGTTTTGGCCTTTTCCTTTTTGGTTCCATCATTCGCACATTTTTCCAACTGTTTGTTTATTTCAGTCCCCAATCCCATATTCTGTCTTTTGGCCAAGGGGGAAGAAAGCTGATTCTTCATTAGAGGTTCTTTGCAAATACTTCCTTAATTCTCTCTGGCTTCCTCAATAGTCTCTGGCTTTTGCTTAACTCCCTGGTGGCATGCCAAGGTCAAGAGCTCCAGCTGGGGATGGAACCTGTGGTGCATTTGTTCTTAAATCTGAGCTAACATCATGCTTTCAGAAATATCCTTTAGCTTTTTTTAACGATATTTTCTAACATTGACCTGTTCAGCAATTTTACACATTTCTGGAGCAGGTGAGACTTGAACCTGTATAGTAAATTGGGAGATATCTTTCTCACTCGTAAAAGAGTCGAGGTTGAGAGGGCACAGATTTAAAGTGATTTGCAAATATCATAAATGTGGTTTGGGAAAAGTCCTTTTCACACGGTGAATAATTGGGGATGGAATGTAATGGAGGCAGGTTCAGTTGAGTTTTTGGATGACTGGTTCGATTTAAACTGTGCGCCATGGATATGGGTTAAGGCATGAGATTGGTACTAAGTCATGATGCTCGTTTTGAGATCCAGTGCAGGCACTAATTCCCGTCAGCTAACCCTTCAGCTACCAGTAACGGCACGATACTTACCATAGTTTACTGCTGACATTTGATACATCATGGGCACTTTAACGACAGAGCCATCCGCCCTGGTAAACGAGAGGTGTTGGGTCTCCGAGGTTGAAAATTGGTTCTCCCATGTGCTTTTAAAATATATGGTGCTAATCACAGCAATCTGTGTAAGTGATGCACATGCCATGGGCTGTGGCATGAAATCTTTAATTTCACCTGTAGTGACAGGAAATGCCAGGGTTATTGTGTGATAAAGTATTTTGGCTGAGAAGCTTTTTTCAAAATTGCAGTGCATTAAAAATTGGGCAACATTGAAAATGTGCATTGGGGAATATTAATTAGCATAATTGCACAAGAATTGTTCACTGTTTCATAACTGAAATTATCCACATGCATTATGTAGTTACAAGCCACAACTACTTTATAGAACATATGAAAGTTATCTTATTAATGTAATTGCTGGATTGTTGGAAGCAAGTTTTTCCTCCTGGTTCACTTTTCAGTAGTATTGCCAATAAACTTAAACTGATGTGTGGTTCATTGCGAGTTACTCCCCTATCTCTAAGACTGTACGAGTTATACAGTTGCTGGGGCATCTGGATTTGCAATGATTTTTGTTTCTTCTTCTTCTTGCCTGGTTTGCAAACTCTGTTCAGATGCTACTTGCGAGAAAGAGGAGCAAAACACACTGACTGGAATATTCAGCAAACAGACCAAGGCTGTAATTGGAAGCAGGCTGTAATACTCCATTCTGTTCTGTTAAGCAATCCCATCCCGATTGGACTACAATGTTTTCATTGTACTCTTTAATGCAGTCACACCCTAATTGGTTTTGTGGCTGTCATTATTTAATGTGCTGAATCTTAGAATCATTTCCTTTAGAAAAGAGCTTGCAAGCAAGCAGTAAGTTACAGAACACTAAGTTTCACATTTTATGCTGTTAGACAAGTTTGGACGTATTTGTATATCTCCACAAAGAACTTAGTATGTGTTGCTTGACCACGTGTATTTCAAGGGCAGCTCACAGGAAAAGGAAGACTTGCATTTATAAAGCACCTTTCATGACTGCGAGTACAATGCTTTATTACAGCCATCGCCATAAAGGCAGGAATGTAGTGCTCTGTACAGCAAGATCCCTCAAGCAACACTGAAATAAATGATCAGAAGATCTATAATGTTGGCAGAGGGAGAAATATTGGACATGACACCAGGGATAATTCATTTCCAATTTTTTTTTTAGCCTGGGGCTCATTTAGATGCACGTGAGTGGAAGGGCAGGGCCACTTGTCTAATATGGCACTCTAAAGATGGTATCTCCTTCAGTATGGTGTCTCTTATTACTGTGTTGAAGTAACAACATGAGCCAGGAACTTAAGCACATGTTTTAAGAATAGTCAACCTTCCAATGAGGAGGTGGAAAGCCCTCTACGGTCTCTCTCTGGTGTAAGCTAATGGTTGCTGGTTACGTGATTGCCTTGTGTCAATCACTTCCAACTGTGAAAGGAGACCTGAAAACTATGTTTAGAGAGTGCAGTTGAAATAACTGTTTTAAAAACACTTAATGGAGGCTGCTATTAACTTGAGGTGACTGTGTCAACCTATATCAATCTCACTTCAAAGTGAAACATTGAACAAGTTCAAGTTCGACTTGGCTGCAAATTAATGAATAAACTCAGATCCAGATGTCAGTAATTGCCCCCAACTCTGTTCCAACTCTTTAGAATCATTAATCTCCCATCACGGATAAAGGCTGTACGCCTGATCACCAAAGAAAAAGCTACTGGATTTGTTCCACGCTCTCTTTGCCAAGAAGTCCTCAAAAATTATTCTTTTTAACGTTACTATTAATCTGCTTCCACCACCTTTTCGAACAGTGCAGTCCAGATCTTTGTAACTCTCTCTCAGAAATTAATTCTCACCTCCCCATGGGTTCACTGGCTAAATAGGTTTGATTTGTGTTCCCTGCTTATTTGATTTTAAATTTAGACTTTGTCATGTGTACTCCAAGTACAAAAGTACAGGAGTTCGAGTCAAAAGTTTTTCAATGTTGCCACATAATGGCGTCATCTTGGGTAGAAGTGCCTAGGTACAGAAACTTAAGAACAAAGTTAAAAGTTAAACATTACAGTCACTCTTAATGTTAAGTTGAAAAATAAAGTAGTAAAGCTAAATGTTCAACTATTGCAGTCTGTCTTAAGTGCTTAACTATGCTGGGACTGACATCCTACGAGGGCACAATCTCCTTTTATTGGCACATTTACTCTGAGCTGGCTGGATCTCCTCTGCTTTTGTGGTCACTGCAGATGTTGGGGGAAACTCCATCGCTGCGTTCAGCTGGCTGCTGGGATCTCAGGCCGCCCAAGTTCCAGTCCAGACCTTCTGACACACACTGGGCTACCAAAGCCCTGATTCAGGTGCTGTCCTTATTTATTAATAATTGTTATAACATTCTGGGCTATTGAGTGAATTCAAGTGGCTTGCTACACAAACATCTCTGAGCCCACACCATAGCTCTAACGGAAGGTGACCTGCTCCAGCTCTCTTTGTACGTGGGTCAGTGTTCCAGTCTGTGAGCCAGCAGCTAGAACTGGAGTCCCCACTTTCTCTCAGCCATCTGGTGGGCGGCAGGAACAGTGCAGTTTCGACGTACGTTCTGCCCCAACAAGGTGACCCAACTCTCTATAGTTCCACAGTAAATAAAAACCATATACAATGTTCATTGGAAACTAGAGTTCAAAAATATCCTGGGAAATGTCTGCAAGAACACACCACTGTATAATAGTGAGTCTTTGTTATATTTCCATTGCAGCACTGCCATTTATTGCCCTTGTTTACCTGCTTTGAGCAGATTGGAGTGCCCCACCTTCTCGACCCCCGAACCCATGTTTGTGGCAATTTGATACAACTGACTCTGGTCTCCCTGCTATACAAATGATGTTGTGAAACTCGAACGGGTTCAGAAAAGATTTATATGGATGTTGCCAGGGTTTAGAGTATTTGAGTGACCGGGAGAGGCAGAATAGGCTGGGGCTATTTTCCCTGAAGTGTCAGAGGCTGAGGGGATGACCTTAGTAGAGGTTTATAAAATCATGAGGGGCATGGGTTGGATGAATAGTCGAGGTCTTTTCCCCCAGAGTAGGGGAATCCGAAACTAGAACAAAAGAACAAGAGAAGTATAGTACAGCACAGGAACAGGCCCTTTTTGCCCTCCAAACCTAGGCTGATCATCATGCCCTAACTAAACTAAAAAAACAAACTTCCTGCCCTTATTCGGTCTGTATCTCTCTATTCCCTCCCTTTTCATGTAACCATCCAGATGCGTCTTAAATGTTGCCAATGTGCCTGCTTCCACCACCTTTTCTGGCATTGCGTTCCAGGCTCCTACCACTCTCTGCGTGAAAAACTTGCCTCGCACACCTCCCTTAAACTTTTGCCCTCTCATCTTGAACCTGTGCCCCCTTGTAATTGAAACTTCAACCCTGGGAAAAAGCCTCTGTCTATCCACCCTTGCTATGCCTCATAATTTTGTAGACCTCTATCAGGTCGCCTGTCAGCCTCTGTCTTTCCAGTGAAACAATCCTAGTCGTCTTAACCTTTCCTCATCGTCAGTGCCCTCAAGGCAGGGCAAAATCCTGGTGAACCTTCTCTGCACTCACTCCAAAGCTTCCACGTCCTTATGGTAGCGTGGTGACCAAAACTATACACAATACTCCAAATGCAGCCTAACAAGGGTTTCATATAGCTGCAACATGGTTTGCCAACTCTTATAGTCCATACCCTGGCTGATGAAGGCAAGCATGCCGTATGCTTCTTAATCACCTTGGCCACTTTTAGGGAACTGTGGACCTGCGCGCCCAGATCCGTCTGTATGTTAATGTTCCAAAGAGTTCTGCAGTTAACAGTATAATTCACACCTAAATTTGATCCTCCAAAATGCATCACCTCACATTTGTCCAGTTAAACTCCATCTTCTATTTCTGAGCACAAGTTGCCAATCTATCTGTATCCTGTTGTATCCTTTCAGAGTTGTTAGCACTATCAGCACCTCCACCAATCTCTGTGACATCTGCAAAGTTAGTAATCAGAACACCCACATTTTCCTCCAGATCCTTTCTATATACTACAAACATCAGGGGACCTAAGACTGATCCCTGTGGAACACTAGTAGTTACTGGACTCCATTCTGAAAAACACCATTCCACTGTTACCCTCTGCCTGTATGACCAAGCCAGTTTTGTATCCATCTAGCCTGCCCACCCCGAATCCCATGTGATTTTTAGTTTTTGTACCAATTTGCCATGTGGTACTTTCTCATGCCTTATTGAAGTCCACATAAACTACATCCACAGCTCTTCCCTCATTAATTATCTTGGTCATCTCTTCAAAAAATTCATTCAGGTTGGTGAGACATGACCTTCACAGTACAACACCATGCTGCCTGTCACTAACCAGTCCATTTTCTTCCAAATGTGCATATATCCTGTCCCTCAGTATCTTCTCCAAGAGCTTCCTCACCACAGATGTCAGGCTCACTGGCCTATAATTTCCTGGATTATCCCTTCTTCCTTAAACAAGGGAACATCATTGGCTAATCTCCAGTCCTCTGCCTGTGGTCAAAAGAGGATGTGAAGATATCTGCTAATGCCCCAGCGGTTTCTTCTCTCTCCTGTCACAGTAATCTGGGATAGGTTCCATCTGACCCTCGGGACTTGTCTACTAGAGGGCATAGGCTTAAGGTGAGAGGGGAAATATTTAGAAGGGACCTTAGGGGCAACTTTTCCACGCAGAGGGTGGTGCATGTATGGAATGAGCTGCCTGAGGAAGTGGTGGAGACTGGTACAATTACAACGTTTAAAAGGCATCCTGATGGGTACATGAATAGGAAGGGTTTGTGGGGATATGGGCCAAATGCTGGCAAATAGGACTAGGTTAATTTAGGATACTTGGTCTGCATGGACGAGTTGGACCGAAGTGATGTATGACACTGACTTTCTCAGCCAATTGTGAGGACACTTATGGGTCAATGAGGTTGCTGTGGACTGAAGTCACATGTAGTTCTGTCTGGCTAATTGCAGCAGTTTTGTGACTGTCAAAGTGATCCACTTGGGTTTTCACAACAGTCCAGTAGCTTCATGGTCATTTTTATTGATGCAGGCTTTTTTTTTTTTTTGAGACCATGCATTCAAACAATTTAAATCTTTTAAATTGTGCCAGTGTGCTTCAGGCTGCATTCAGTGGCAGTGCTCTCACCCTGGAGACAGAAGGTTGAGTGCTCAGGTTCTGTTCCAGATTGTTGAACACATGCAGTCTCCAGGCTGATCTCCCAGTCAGTCTTGAGGGAGTACTGCATTGTCAGGGATGCCATCTTTGAGATAAAGATGATAAACTTAAGCCCACTACCCCCTTGGGTGGATGTGCAGATCCTGTGACAGCATAATGGAGAAGAGCTGGGGAATTTTCTTTGGTATCCTGGCCAGCATTCATCTTTCAACTGAAAACTTACATAGGATAATCGATCTTATTGGCATTGGTGTTCATGAGATCTTGTTCTCTTCAAGTTGGCTATCATGTTAGCTACATTGCAGCAGTGACTGCTCATCACAAAAGTACTTCAGTAGATATAAAATACCTTGAAGTCCCAAGATCATAAAGGGTGCTATACAAATGCAAGTCTTTCTTCTCTCTGGGAGCTAGATTTAGTCGACTAACATCCTAGTTGTGATAGCTCAGCAGGTCTGGCAGCATCTGTGAAAGGAAAAACAGAGTTAACATATCTGGTCCGGTGACCCTTCCTGAGCTCTGAGAAAGGGTCACCGGACCTGAAACGTTAACTCTTGTTTTTTTTCCTTCGCAGATGCTGCCAGACCTGCTGAGCTTTTCCAGCAACTTTGTTTTTGTTCCTGATTCACAGCATCCGCAGTTCTTTCGGTTTTTATCCTAGTTGTGATACTGTCCATCTCTAAATTAGATCATTAAGTCCTTTAGTTTGTGATAAAATTAAATTAATTTGCAAGTGTGTTATGCAAAATCATGCTGCGTGCTCAAAGCTCCAGGCTTGTACTTGTTACCTTGACTCTTAGTGGTGACCCACTCGTCTATCAGCATTGCAGTTTCATTCGGATTGCTGAGATTCACTCGTTGTAGGCTTCCATTTAGCCAGGCAGCTGTGTCCTCTGAGAAATGTGAAGAAAGCTGCATGTTGGCCTCCACAAAGAGGCCACAGGCCAAACGAACTGTGGGAGTGAGAGTGGAGTTTGCCAGGTCCCCATACATACTCCGCAAGAAATGTCGTACCCGTGAGTCTGCAAAATAAATTCAAATATTAATAGTGGCAGGTTGCAAGGTTAATAGCAGCAGCAAATACATCCAGAAACTGAGAGAACAATGGTAATAAAAGTTGATAAGCATTAAAATCTTAACACTTCTGCATTTTCATGTAAATTGGAAGTCTAATTAAAACTATCCAAACCAGATTAAGGCAGAGCCACCATGATACCAGTCATCAGCTAGGCATCTTGGCTTGCATATGAACCTCAGGTCATAGAGATGTACAGCACATAAACAGATGCCTCCATCTAACTCGTCCATGCTGGCCAGATATCCTAAGTTAATCTAGTCCTGTTTGCCAGCATTTAGCCCATGTCCTTCTAAACCCTTCCTATTCATATACTCATCCAATTGCCTTTTAAATGTTGTAATTGTACCAGTCTCCTCCACTTCTTTTGGTAGCTCATTCCATACACGCACCACCCTCTGCCCCTTTAGGTCCCTTTTAAATTTTTCCACTCTCACCTTAAACCTGTGCCCTCTACTTTTGGACTCCCCTACGTTGGGGAAAAGACCTTGGCTATCCATGCCATCATGATTGTATAAGCCTCTATAAGGTCAACCTTCAGCCTCCAATGCTCCAGGGAACATTGCCCCAGCCTATTCAGCCTCCCCCTATCACTCAAACCCTCCAACCCTGGCAATATCCTTGTAGATCTTTTCTGAACCCTTTCAAGTTTCACAGCATCTTATAGATGCAAGAGCAGAATTGCACACAGTGTTCCAAAAGTGGCCTAACCAATGTCCTGTACAGCCGTAATATGACCTCCCATCTCCTATACTCAATGCACTGACTGATAAAGGCAAGCATATCAAATGCTGCCTTCACTACCCTGTCTAGCTGGGACTCCACTTTCAAGGAACTATGAACCTGCACTCCAAGGTCTCTTTGTTCTGCAACATTCCCCAGGACCTTACCATTACATGTGTAAGTCCTGCCCTGATTTGCCTTTCGAAACTGTAGCACTTGACGCTTATCTAGATTTAAACATATTTACGAACATGTAGTAAGAGCAGGCCATTCAGCCCTGATTTCTCCACAAATCAGTTCTTGCAGCTCAGGATGGTTAGTTTTCACTTCATTTGAGTTCAATGCTAATATTGGGAACACACTGTACTCATAGTGGACTGATGAGGTTAACCCTAACCCTATCGCAAGTGACTGCCAGTAGAGACGTGTGGAATGACAAACTGAACATCTTTCAGAAATTTAATCCAAATAGTTTATATAGTAAAGCATATTTGTTCCTTTCCATGACCATAACTTTGGTGTAGTTTTATTAATGTAGCTGAAAATATGGTAATCCAGAAAAAAGTATTTTTAATGAGTGATCTCAACTTTACATCACTTACAATACACTGAATTGTTCACTGGTTTCAATGTTATACACAAGTCAGTTCCTTAGTGAAGTAATCATTCTTAGTATGTAATAACTTCTAAAATGTCTATATCTGTGACTGAAATAAAAATAGATGCAAATTGATGAGCTTTCTGAACCATTCTTTTTATTTGTGGGGAGCTTGCCAGTTTCAGGCAAATGATTTTTAAACCACTGTTTAATTTCATGCAAACTCAACTTGTGTTCAACATGGGTTACAATTGATGTACTTTCCATTGTAAGTTCCCTGATTGCGCTGCAGTTTTGACAAAATTCAATTGGGTTGCACTGATCAAACCACTCTACCCTTACGTACTTAAATGGAAAAACTTAGTTTGATTCTTTTACAAAAACTCAGTCACTATATATGAAGCTGACATGAAGATTCACCAGTACCGTGAACAGTGTATCCTAATGCATTTTCCAGCTGCATGAAGGTGTTTCCTTTGGCTCCCAACTGTAGCAGTTCTAGTGCAATACTGACCCCTGTTGGGGATATGATGATGTTGCGGTATTCTTCGCCCACTGTCAATTTCTGGTAAAGGTTTCGAGCAAACTCTGTGTTCAGGTGCCTGATGGTGTCCTGAAAAGGACAGACCCTTTTCACAGTGAACAGCAAGTACAGCAACAAGTTGAGGACTGAGAGGGAACACATGATGCTTATCGTGAGCTTTGAGTCTGCCAGGATCAAAGATGGCAATATCTATCAATACAAATGAGGAAAAATAACACAATGAAGATTCTTAACCACAATAATTGCAACGAAGACAATTCTGAAGTCTTTGAAACGGCAGCCAAAGCAATATAAATATGTTCCTAATGCATATATAATCATCTGATACACAGCAAGATTGTGTTAGATGATGTAACCATTGATAATGAGAGCATTTATACAGTACCTTTCACAAGCTCAGTAGTCCCAAAGTGCTTAATAGCCAATGTAGAACTTTTTGAGATGTCATCACTATTATAATATAGAACGCTGCTTCGATCAATGTGTCGATCAAAGTCCCACAGATGTCACAGGTTTGAAAACTCCAGCCAAGCTAGCTCCTGCAGTTATCAACATTCCCTTAAAGTATTGGTGATATTAAAGGGATTTATTGCATTTGGATTAGAGTGAGAGTTACTTAAATATTCAGGCTAGATATAACGGCCCATCAGTTAAACTTCGGTGGTGGGGAAGCTTGTGGAAATTATTATTTGAGATAAGTCAGTAGTCACATGAAAAAGGTACATCAATTAAGAAGAGGCAGTATGAATTTTTAAAGGGGATATTGTGTTTGGCTAAACGAGCTAGAGTTTTGCTAAGAGGTAACAGGTTCAATGTTGTTGATGTGGGATACATCTGTTTCCAGAAGGCATTACATAGTGCCACACAACAGACTTGAGAGAAGTTTTCGTTCATGGTATAAAAGGAACGGTAGCAAGATGGCCAAGTGATAGGTGGAGAGAGTAGTATGTAAAGCACATTGTGCTCTTGGCTTCATTAATAGGAGCATAGAGAACAAGAATGAAGAGGCTCTGCTGGACTTGTATGAGACACTCTTTAGACTTAAAACAGCGAAGCAGACTCATGAACCTGTTTCTGTTCCTAAAAATGTATCCAAGCCAGCAGCTGACTGTCAGTTTTTATGCTTTACATCAGCCTTAAGACCGTGAGGAGTCCTGATGGAGGTCTTTAACATAATGATGAGATTCACAACAGTCAAAATATTTTCCGCTTAGAGGACGTTCAAAACTAATAGCCGTAAGTATAATATATTCATAAAATAATTGGTACTCAAATTGGCAGGATGTGACACTAGGATCTGTTTGGGCTTCAATTATTCACATGATTTATTAACCCTTGGAGAATGGCATAGAAAGGCATGAATCCAAATTTGCCAATGACACAAAGTTTGGTGGCATAGACCGTGTAGGTGATAGCATAAAATTGCAAAGGGATAATGATAGACTAAGTAAATGGGCAAAACTGTGGCAGATGGAGTTCAATTTAAGCAAGTGAGAAGTCTTCTATTGGCTTGATAGTAGGAGATAGAGGATGATGGTAGAGGATTGCTTTTCAGAATGGAGGCCTGTGACCAGCTGTGTTCCGCAAGGATTGGTGTGGGGTCCACTGTTGTCGTTTATATACATGGTTTGGATGAGAATATGGGAAGCTTGATTCGTAATTTGCAGATGGTGCCAAAATTGGTGGTATTGTGGAAGGTTATCTCAGAGTACAATGGCCCAGCTGATCAAGATCCCAATGGGCTAGGGATTGGCAGATGGAGTTTAGTTTAGATAAATGTAAAGTGTTGCATTTTGGTGAAACGAACCAGGACAGGCCTTGCACAGTTAATGGTAGGGTCATGGAGAGTATTGTCGAACAGAGAGACCTAGGAGTTTAGGTGTATAGTTCCTTGACAGCATCGTCACAGGGTGGTAAGGATGTACTTGGCCTGCTTATCTTCATTGGTCAGAGCATTGAGTATCGGAGTCAAGTTGTCATGTTGCAGCTGTATAGGACATTGGTGAGGCCACTTTTGGAGTACTGTATGCAGTTCTGGTCACCCTGCTATAGGAATAATACTATTAAATTGGGAAGGTGCAGAAAAGGTTCACCAATATTACTGGGACTGGAGGGTTTGTGTTGTTGCGAGAGACAGGATAGGCTGGGAATTTTCTTCCCTGGAGTGCAGGAGGTTGAGGGGTGACCTTAAGTAGGGTAAATCGTGAGAGGCATGGATAAGGTGAACAGCAAAGATCTATTCCCTCGGTTTGGGCACTCATAATTAGATGATATAGGTTTAAGGTAAGAGAAGAAAGATTTAACAGGAACCTGAGGGGCAACATTTTCAGAGGGTGGTGCATGTATGGAATAAACTGCTAGAGGAAATGGTAGATGCAGGTACAGTTATAACATCTAAAAGACATTTGGACAGGTACATGGATAGGAAAGATTTAGAGGGCTTTGGGTAAACGCAGCAAATGGGACCAGTGTAGTTTGGGAAACCTGGTTGACTTGGACAAATTGGATCGAAGGGTCTGTTTCTATACTGTATGACTCTGATCAAAAATGGATGGATCAGGGTACTTGCTCAATGGTTATGACGTTAGGTACAGTGGATGCCCGAAGAGACTTGGGTTTCAGGTACATAGATCTTTAAAATATCATGAACAGGTGCAGAAAATATTCAAGAAAGCTAATGGAATGCTGGCCTTTCTGTCGAGAGGATTGGAGTACAGGGATATAGAGGTTATGGTGCAGTTACACAAAACCCTGGTTAGACCCCATGAGGAGTACTGTGAGCAGATCTGAGCACCACATCTTGGGAACACTGGCTTTGGACAGAGTACAACATGGATTTACAAGAATGATGCCTGGACTTCAGGGGTTATGTTCTGAACAGAGATGATACAAATTAGAAACTAAGACACAAATTGCTGGAAAATCTCAGCAGGTCTGGCAGCATCAATGGAGAGAGATCAGGGTTAACGTTTGGGGTCGAGTGACCCTTCCTCAGAACTCAGTTCTTGAGGAAGAGTCACTCAACCTGAAACATTAACTCTTGATTTCTCTCCACACACACTACCAGACCTGCTGAGCTTTTCCAGCAATTTCTGTTTTTATTTCTAATTTGCAGCAACTGCAGTTCTTTTTTGTTTTTATTTATTCAAATTAGGCCTGTTTTCTGTACCATTTAGAAGGTCTGGGGGCAATCTAATCGAAGTCTTCAAAATATTAACAGAAAAAGACAGGATGGATAAAGATGAAACTATCTTAACTGTTTGGAGTTTCTAGAGCTAGGGGATGGTCTGAGAATTAGGGTAGACTATTCAGGAGAGAAGTTAGGAAGCACTTCGACACACAAAAAGTAGATGTTTGGAACTCTCTCTTTCACAAATGGCAGTGGATACTGGATCAATTGTTAAGCAAAGGTATTAAGGGATATGAGCTAATGGCATTAGGGCGCAGGTCAGCCATAATCTTATTGATTGGTGGAGCTGGCTGGAGGGCTGATCGGCCATCTCCTGCTGCTATGTTCCTAAATAAGTCCAATGAGGAGTCTTGTAAAAACTACTTCTGAAAGAGTGGGGAAGTCATTTTCACATGATATAATTGGGGCACACAGCATAGATTCATTCAGGAGAAGTTAAATAGGGGTGCAAAGTTGATCTGACCAATCAGTCTAACCAGTCGTAAGACTGAGTAATTGGCCAACATCCCTTCGATCTAACTTGAGGCACAAGATGAACATATGAATTCGGAGCAAGAGTAGGCCTTTGGGTCCTACTTGAGCACGCTACACAGTTCAATAAGGTCATGGCTAAGCTGATTACTCTACATTCCTACTTACTCCCAACAACCTTTCACCCCCTTGATTATCAAGGACCATGTACCTCTACCCTGACCCTTCCTCCTCCACTTTATGAGGACAAGAGTTCTGAGGATACATGACCCTCTGACAGAACAACATCCTGGTTATCTCTGTCTTTTATCTCTGATTTTCAAGCAGTGACTTCTAGTTCCAGATTCTCCCACAAGAGGCAATATCCTTTCCACATCCATCCTTAACTTGTCTTATTGATGTTTATAAAATTAATTCCTCAAAGCAATCAAGCACTCGCTTATGTAAATTAAGTATAGCATAATTTAGATTGTGCTTTTGGAATCTCTTTTTAACATATTCTGATATTAAAACAAGTATTTGAGGATACAGAAAATATATTGCAGCTCTAAGTAGTATTGAAAGTTTGAAAAAATGTTACAACACTAGAAACCGTGATTTTAATTTTTGAGTGTAAATTTATACCTGTTCAGGAAACTTGCACTTTATGGAATTTTGCATGGGGATGAATCAATTTCAATGTGTCAAATAGAGTCAAGTAAAATAAGGGGCAAAAGGTTGTGGAAAATTCACCCACAGTGAGGTTTCAGTGTAATTCAATTAAGTCCAAAATTTATTTGATGAAAAATTAAGCAAATCTGATCTTGTCATGTAACTTTCCAGGGAATTAGAAATGTGAAGTGCACACAAAAAAAATTTGGATTCTGACTGTAAATTTTTTTAAAAAAGTGATCCGTGAGAGTGGAAGAATGAATTTGTCAGTGATTTATGATGCAATGGGATCTTTGCTTCAAAGTGTGGGATAGAAACAGACAGACAATAATGGGTTGATGTAACTGTTCCCCCTCTCTGCAAACCCTACCAGCTCTCGTCTGTTTATATTTGCTGCTTGTATTGAGTTTTGGCCTCAAGTTTTTTTAAATCTCCACACCGATTTCAAACTCATTCTTTAAGCAATAAAATAGCCCACAACTATTGTTTACATGATACCTCGCCTTTGCCGTATCAGAGATGAACATTAAGTTTAGAGTAAGGTTTCAGTAGTCTCAGCTGTTATTTCATTTCTCTATTAAATTGATATTTCAACCTTAATTGCAGCCAGTGATAATCACAAGGTTATTTGAATTACTTACCGGCTCACTTTTCCCACTGTCTCTCGTTCTTTTTCATGCCCAGTTGTACAAAGTCATAAGACTGTGTCTGCAGGCTCACTCTCTCGGTGATATCTGTACCACTCACCCCAGACTCCTGTAAGCGACACTTATTACAGCCAAATGCAGTGGGCACAGCACGTCATAGTCACAACTAAACTGCAAACAGCTCCTTCCATTCAAACAGGCCACTCGCACCTTGGCTGTGTTTCTTGCACCCTCCTGGAGTTCTCTTCATTCGCCCCCCCTCTTCATCACAACGAACTCGGAAGTATTGCAAAGGAGGTGTATTTAATGTCAAAACCCGTTCAAAGTGCAGCACAATCTGGGTGGCTTCCAGTCAAATCACCTAGAGTATTAGCCGCATCATTCTGTTCTGAACCTAAAACTTGTCAAAGATGTCCACTGGGCGTTTCGGGAATGAAACACTTTCTTTAAAATAAAGGATTTGATTTGCAACAATGAATCACTGTAGTTCAGCCTGTTGTTCTCCCCAGCGTTGTACCTGGGAGCTTTATACGTCTGCATTTTGACATTTCAGTGTGTAACAGCACTGCCGAGGTGTCTGCTACAGAAGGGTGTGGTCCTGTCCTCTATCGTTATTGCATTTCAAGCACCACTCATGCACACACTTTCTGTATTGTAATTATGTGACCCTTTCCTTAGGAGTGATAATTCATTTGCCAGATGTACATTTGAATAGTGTTCCATGCTCCCATTATTTTTCTTGACGTTCACATTTTCCCCACATTGGACTCGATCTAACATGACAACTTACTCTCGTAACCAGGACCAAAAACAGAAGTTGCTGGAAAAGCTCGGCAGGTCTGGCAGCACCTGTGAAGAAAAAAAATCACAGTTAACGTTTTTGAGGGAGGGTCACCGGACCCGAAACGTTATCTCTGATTTTTTTTTTCTTCGCAGATGCTGCCGGACCAGCCGAGTTTTGCCAACATCTTCTGTTTTTGTTGCTGGTTTACAGCATCCACGGTTCTTTCAGTTTTTACTCTCAACCATCTTAGTATCCTCCTCTAGCTCCCACAATGTTGGTCCCTTCATTCGAGTTATCCAAAGGGATTGTGTCAAATGAGGTAGAGGCTGTTATGGTGCAAGAGTAGTGTCCCGAACTCTGAGCCAGGAGGCCTAGGTTGAAATCCCACTAGCTCCAGAGGTGTGTAATAACATCTCTGAATGGGCTGGTTATAAAATATGAAGAATGGTTTCATCCATACACAGAAAATTCTGAGGGGCTGGGCACGAAGAGGTTGTCTCTCCCCAGACTGGAGCAGTCTAAACTGTGGGACACAGTCTTGGGATAGGATTATGCCCATTTAACACTGGGTTGAAGAGAAATTTCCTTGCCGAATTGTGAATCTGTGAAATTCTCCATCTCATAGCGTTGTGGATTATTGAGAATATTGGAAGTTGGCACGGAGTCTCGTGAAATCAAGGGAGAACAGGCTAAACCAATGACCAGCCGTGTTGTCAGTAAATGGTTTGAAGGAACTCCTGCTTAGATATTTTCTAATCAACCTGTTCAGAGATGTTATTCCACGTTTCTGGAGCTAGTGGAACTTGAAGCCAGGCCTCCTGGCTCAGACAGGGACCCCACCTGTTTTTTTTTAGTTATTTGAGAAATCTTTTGTTTTTGCTTGTACTTCAGCCCTGCACCCCTGATCTTTGGGCACCCAGTGCAGAGGGGTGTGGGCAGATCAGACAATCTCCTCGTGGTTCTGCTCCTGGGCCAGGTCCAGGCAGCGGGCACGGGAGGGGGTTCTCTCTGACTGCCTGCCCCTCTTCCGCAGTTACATTCGAACCCAGCTGTCATTGGAGAGGGAGCACAGGGTATCCATCAGTGCTCTCGATGCCTTTAGAGAGAGGTGGGTACCTTGGGGGTAGGGGGTGGGGGAAGGTGCGAGACAGTGCTTTATATATCCCTTCAGTTTCATTTTAATTTAGTCCCTTCCCACTTTCCGTACTCCTCCCTCACTTCTGATGGTTTGCATTGCCCGTAATGGCCTTTGCATGTAAGTATCCAATTGACAGCACGGGTGTTTTACTGGTAGCAGTTAATAGTCAAAAACCAAAGAGAAAAGTCATGGTGATTTGGTTGTGAGGGTAGAAGAAACATTTGCTTCTGTGTAAGAGCACTTTTGGATATTGAAAAACATCATCATTTTAACATAACTCAAATGGCTGATGAAAGATGTTTAAAAACACAAAAACAACTGGAGAAACTTGGATTTAACAGTGTGACAAACCACCAGCAGTAATTATGCAGGACACTTATTGCAAAGCAAACTTTGACTGTGTAGCATCTCCAACATGGTGCTGATTAACCCAGGGAGAGGAATATGGTTAGTTTTTTGACCCTTGCCCTGTATTTTCACCTCAACCAATTGCAAATGGAGCAGAGCCATGAATGACAGGGTCACTGGGATGTCTGCTATCCCTTTTCTCACAGTCTTAAACGTGTATGGTGTTGCTCAATGTTGACTGTGTGCCCTCTGCTGCTTGTTAATAACACTGGTGTTCCCATGCTTTTGTGTGCAGGGGCAGGGACTGTTTGTGGGGTGGGTGGGGAGCTGGGGGGTCACCAGATACTTTGCTCCTTTGTTCAGGCAAATGGATTTTGTTTCCGTCTCCGGAGTTTGCTAATTGGTAGCAGGACATGAGATTTCAATGGAGATGTCACTTACTGGAAGATTGCTACTGTATCCTGGAATGCAGGAAGCGTTAGTATAGTAAAAGCATGAGCCCACAAACAAATTCCCAGTCATTAGACAGAGACAAAGACTTTGAATGCTATTAGTGACCGAGAGGTTCTTTGGCAGTCAAAATTTAGGCTGTCTTCCGCCAGCCTGACATTCCTGATATTTAATGAAATGACAGAGCGAGGGAGTTTCTAATTGAAAATGAATGAATCCACCATTTCCCATGCCACCAGTGTCTGAAATTGCCAATTCTTCTCCAACCAATTATTCACTTACCTTCCTGATGCTTCTCCAAAGAGGCTGCTTAGAAAATATCCAGCCTCCCTGTGCTCATTGTGGGATCTTGCTGTGTGAATATGGCCTGCTGTGGCTTTCTATGTCACAACAGGATTTGTATGAAATCCTCATCAGTCACATCTTGCAGAGAGGGAGTAAGTTGTCAGTTTCAAATGGGGGAGAATCAGACCAGCTGTATCCCTTGTCCTAACTTCACATCAAGTCCCATTTACTCAGCACCTTGTACTTACTGGGAAGTGTTTATTAATTGGGAGGACCACAGATTCAATTTCAACTTGAAGGTATTCACAGCACACTGTGCTCCATCTTCTCCCTAAAGTTCACTGTTATGAACTTATATGGTCATACAGTATGGAAACAGACCCTTCGGTCCAACTTCTGATCTCCTGATCTGACCTAGTCCCATTTGCCAGCATTTGGCCTATATCCCTCTAAACCCTTCCTATTCATATACACAACCAGATGCCTTTTCAATGTTGTAATTATACCAGCCTCCACCACTTCCTCTGGCAGCTCATTCCATACACACACCACCCTCCGTGAAAAGGTTGCCCCTCAGGCCCTTTGTAAATCTTTCCCCTCCCACCTTAAACCTACGCTGTCTAGTTTTGGAATCTTATGACACTGTGTCTGTAATGAACTGAAGATTGAGCAAACTCTGACAGCTTGCTTTGCTCCTGGGTTTAAGAAAATAAGTGGGCATCTATATAAAGCAGAGATGAGGAAACTTTTTCTCTGAGGGTTGAGAGTCTCCCTTTCTCACCAGTGGATGCTGAATCTTTAAATATTTTTAAGGCAGTTAGAGGCTTGATTACCAAGGGGATTAAAGATTATTGGGATATAGGGGTGTCTAATTCATCCCCCTCTCCTACCTTTTCCCAACAGTGCTGGGACATCTTCATAAGTAGTAAATACATTTTTAAAAGTTGCTATTGAACCTGTTTGAGGGAATTTATTACAAATCACAATATGTCATGACATGAATAATATTGTCTTTCTCTCCCCTTTGGTTCTTTTGCCAATTTTTTTTTGTATCTTCTGGATCCTGAGTCCTCTACTATTAAAGATGTTTTCTCCTTATGTACTTTATCAAGGTCTGTCGTAATTCTGAATACCTTTGTTAAATTGGAGGCAATGGGCTGAATGACGGATTCACAGTGGGTAACAACATTGGAGGTAAGCTTCTCATGTACGGTAGCAAAGTACTGAACTATTGGCAACTTAGCAAAAGTGGTAGATTAGAAGTTGAATAGTTTTGGTGAAGACAGTTTGGAATTGTTGAGTTTAGTTGTAGATTTAGTGAAAATTTTGTTTTTATAGCACTTAAGACTTTTTCCACTGGCAAAGCGGGATGCTAATTACCTGCAGCCATGCCTGGCACAAAACAGAAGGCCTGTATCGCAGGGCAGCTGCAGAATGCCAACATTTGACCAATTGCTTGGCTGGTCTTGTGGCTGGCACTGGGTAGTCCTGGCAGTCGCTGCCTGTGGTGAGTGGGAGAATGGGACAAACAATGCACCATAGGTAGGTGGGTAACAAGGCGAGTTTGGAATGATAGCAGGGAAAACTCACAAGGGCTCCAAGAAACATGCCAAAATGAACATTTAGCCAATCTCTGGAAAGATTCAGTCCTCTATCTTTATTATTTTAACCAAGCATTGAAAACCATATCTGACCTTTTCATGTGGCGTAAATGGAATAAAGCAGAGACAAAAAAGGGATATTCTCACTAGTAGCCTAATCACTATTTATTCCTCAGTTTCTAAAACAGCTTATTTAATTGTAAATCTCAGTGCTTCATGTGGGAGCTAACTGTGTGCAAAGCTTGCTGGTTCCTCTCCTACAGTCCAACAGTGGTTACATTTCAAAAGCATTTCATTGTAAAGTTTATTTGGGATGTCTTGAAGCCTTGATAGTCACTATGTAAATGCAAGTCTTTCTTCTGTTTCCTTCCTAAAGCACTAATGGGTTCGGGAATGTGACCTTGGGAGTCTCCCAATTACGATATGAGCATATCTTGCAAGGGAAAATACAGTGCTGCCTGGAATAGGGATTGATAATGTGTAAAGTGAGTCTGCGGCATCCAAAATAATATTAAATAAATAAATAAAACTAAGGTAAACTTGTCATAGTGTTACCATAGCAGAGCATAGGGCTGATCTCTCATGAGAGTGAGAGAACTGATAGTGGTTTAACCTGAGGGTTACCACGCCTAAGGTGAATGGAGAGGCTGGTGCCCTCAGCCCAGTGTGGGAATTGAACTCGCACTGTTGGTGTCACTCTATTGCAAACCAGCCATCCAGCTAACAGTGAAAATCTGAGCCTGTGAATAAGGTGGGTGCAGGCAGATCCAAGTTTAGAACATCTCCAAGGAACAAATAAGGTAGCAACTGCTGTCTGTAAAAAGACTAGCTTGGGCCCATCTCTGAAGAGACACTTACATTGTACACGGATGCATACTGTTATCATTGGGAATGATTTCCATTGAGCCATTCTTTTCAGACTTTCAGAAAGAGGCCCTCAGTGTCTGAAGCAGCCGTTCGGATCTTCAACAAATGTCCAAGGTTTTTCTGATGAAGGGTCTAGGCCCGAAACGTCAGCCTTCCTGCTCCTATGATGCTGCTTGGCCTGCTGTGTTCATCCAGCTCTACACCTTGTTATCTCAAATGTCCAAGGTTGTTGGCTGTCATTTCGTTTTGTGAAAATCCAGCTTGGGTCTGAAGAAGATAACTTGTGCTTATTGAGCATCTACCTGCTCTCTGAAAAAAGTAACCATTTCACCCCATGTCTCTGCACCTCTCCCTTTTGGATGGAGTGTTTTTAGATTTATAGAGGTCTACGGAACAGGAAAAGGCCCTACAGCCCATCGTATCTGTGCTGGTGAAATGGTATCAATGGCTTCCTCCTTTACTATTACAATGCTGTGAATCAACTACCAGAGGGACAGCATTCATGGACTGTGGCAAATTTTCACAAATTGCTACAGAGAAATGTAAAACAGCAAACACTTACTCCCACAGAATTCACAGCAAACTGCTTAGGTTCTTAGAAGGTCAGCAGCAAATATATTTTATTTGCAAATGGTTAGTAGCCTTCTGGGTGCTATTAAAGTGCAGCTAGATTCATGCCTCAGTCTGCTTTTTGAACCTTATTATGTGACCCATTGAGAAGGGAATGGGCAGCAGTTCTGTGGAAATTCTGCCGTGTGCCCTTACAAACACCACCCTGATGTAGATAAATATTACCATTCCTCCCCTCTCGATGGGTCAAAATCATTCAACATCATAAATATATAAATATATAACAGCTCTTAATTCACGTTGCTTCAGAGGTGAGAGAGTTTTTAAACTGAGGGCCTTAAATTGAAATATTTGTGACTAGGATGGCTGACGTCACTATGCCATCTGGAATGGACTGAACTACGGAGGAGGGAAAATGAGTTCTTCTGCTGCAGATGGTTTGAGTCCTATGCTAGGATGCATTTGGCAGGCAGAGTTTCATTCATAACACGGCCAAATGGATCAGCTATCAGCCTGTAACTCCTTTCAATACACTGAAGCTAGGTCCTAAGAATGGGAGAGTTTACTGGTCAGCCATCTTGCAGGAGGCAATGGTAAATCACTGCAGGGCTTTGTCCACAGTGGTGGACCAATCCCAAACAACGCCATGACTCAACACTTGGAAACCAGCATGGAAGAGAAGACAGAAAGACCAAGGGAAGTGTCATGAACAACTGCCTCACTGTGCGACATACTTTTCACCTGCGTTCCATGTGGTGGACACAGATTATAACCGCACTGTCTTGGTAAAAAGCCAGACTTTGACAAGGCACTGTCAAAACTCTGTGGAGCTGGAGGAACACAGCAGGTCAGGCAGCATCAGAGGAGCAGGAAAGTCAATGGTTCGGGTTTACACCCTCCATCAGGAGCACACCAGGCACTTGCCCGAAGCACTGAACATTGATCCTTTCCCATTCACTGGTCAGAGACTGAGGGGCTACATGTTATTTTCATGCCAATAAATGGGGAGGAGAGGGAAATGAGAAAGTACATCCAGGAAAACAAAGAAAGTGCAGTGAAAATGAAATGTTGTAGATACAGTTCTCTGGTCAGTGTCTATGATGAGAAAGACAGGCAGTTCCTGCAACCTACTTCCCCTTTTAGTTGTGAGACAAAGACACATACCTTTCAGCTCCAAACAGCTGCTTTCTTTGTGGCTTGGCCTCACGTTCTTCAGTAACAATTAGAATGCTCCCCCAGCATTTACTCCATGTTATACCCACTCTCGCAATACTCAAGCTGGGTCCATGCCCCCATCACGGAGCTGATAGTGAGCAAACCACTCATTTGCTACAGGCTACAGTTTCTTCCTGTAACAGTACCCCATACAGCTGATGCAATGGCCAAAGCGAGGTATTGATTTGTATTCATCACAACAAGCTGTTAATTGCAAAAGATCAATGCTAGTACTTGTGTTATGTTCATTCTCAGGTTAAAGGCACTATTGGCGAAAACCATCATTTATTGCTCAACTCTCAGAAGCTAATGGATTTTCAAAGTGTGGCTATTCTTTGTAATGCTTGAACACAAATCAGTCACTTGTTGGGCCATTTCAGAGGGCAGTCAAGAGTCAACCAAGTTGGGGTGGAATAACTGGGAGTCATGTCACAGCCAGACTGGAATAAGAAGGAAGGATTCCCTTTCTCAACCTTAAGGCACTTTTCTCTCCAGTCACTCTGCTATTTACCAAAGTCACAACATTATCACAAGCTTGAAATTAGACAATTGATTATAATCAATATTTAAATACACTTAAACACCTTAGAATAGATAAATCTACCTGTGAGCAATATCTTGAGGCATGGTGGCAATTGTAATCAATACTGTAGGAATGTAGGACCAAACGAAGATTGTAACAACTGACCATTGCTATGCAGACCAGAGGGAAAACTGAAGGTTGCCACAGAAACCAGTGGGCTAAAGGCTGAGAGTTAAGAGGTGGGACCCTGCATTACCCATTATAAATTGGGCTGAAACATTTGTTTTAGCAGAGAAGCGATTCTGGGTAACCAGGTGAAACATGACCCCAGCATTTGCCTGAATAAAACCTATGCTAACTGTACCCAAGACTCAGGAATAGCTATTTTAAAATGACGACAATAAACCCTTTTGAAAATAATTTATTGAAAATTCAATATGTTGGAGCAGTGAATATAACAACCACTGAACAAAGCTTTAACATATGGCCCCATTGCTCCCACAAGTACATCACTGATTATGCACATATCAACAGCATTAGCTAATTCTAATTAAGGACATGAATTTACTGTCAAAGAAAAGGTGAGTAGTTTAATTGTAGAAACCAGTGCACCCTGTACATTGTGGTATTGGCTTGTTTCCCTGTAAAGCTATAAAGACAAACAGTGTCACCGTGGTGTTCACTGGGTAGCAATATGATGAGACCTACCAATCGCATGGCACCAAAGTAAGTTTTGGTTAGAGACTATCAAGGTGTGAAACTGAGACTATGAACACAGAATCTGTTCATTTGGTCTAATGAGTTCAATTGTATTGAAATATATCATTCTATAGCCTTTATGAGCTGGGGTTGTAATGACGATAGAGCAAGCCTTCCTATTATTGGCTGGGTTCTAACCTCACAATGCAATCTTTCCAATGAATTAGGTGGGGAGATGAAGAAGTAGGGACTGTTCTCCTGAGAGCAGAGTAGGTTATGATGGGATGGGGAGCTGGACAAAGTATAGGTGCTATTTAAGTGTAGGATATCTGTTATTGCTGCTGCGATGATTGGGATGCAGCTTTCAGATGATTAGCAAGAGGAAAGATGAAGAATTAACTGACTATGTATGTATATATTTTTTGTTTATGATAAGTTGGAACACACTGCCTGAAAGTGGAGTGGAAGCAGGTTCAGTGGTTGAATAGGAGAATTGGCCAGCAACCTCATAGGCACAGGCATTAGCTGAGAGACTCATAGCCTCCTTCAGCATACAATTCTTCTAAATACCCTATCAGGAAGCTAGTGCCCCTTTTGTCCACCTGGGCCCATGCCAAGTCTTGTGTCAGATACTATTACAACTTATTGTTTCAAAACCTTTTGTGATAGGAATTTGGCAGAGAGGTCAGTGAAGTTTCGAAGCAAAACTTTGACAAAGGAGGGGAGAAACGAGTTCTCTAAAGAATGAAGCGACAACTTTTACTCCACTGCAGAAAACTGCAGTGAAAATGGCATGTCATCATTGGCACTTCATTTATTATGAGAAGCTCCTGTAAATTCACAAGCTCTATATTAAAGTAAACCTGATAATGCGTATCATATTCTGTTTGAAGCTAGAACCTTGCTATCCCTTAGCAGAAACATGTCAAGTAACACAGTGCCAACATTTGCAGTTTCCTTAGAAATGGGACATTTTTACCAGTGTCGTCAATTCCCAAGAAGATCCACTGGTATTTGTCGTTGACAGGAAGTGGGGGTGTTTGAGAAATAACGACACTTCTCCCAGTTTCCAAGCATTTCTGTACTTGGGGTTGTGAAAGTAAGGTGCATAGCACTTAAGAAACAGATCAGCCCAATCCATATTAAATGGCTGGATAAGTTGAATGACAACTCATTGCTGTGAATGGGAGAAACTCACCTCAGCAGGTATCCAATCCACTCCAGCAATGAACTAGGTAATTATTTTCCACAGATGTGAAATATCATGAGAGAGGATGGCATGGAGAACATAAGAACCATTTTAATCGTGAGAATCCAGCATAGATCCTGGAAAGGTGTTGCCTGATCTCCTGATAAAGGAGTGGTTGATGGCCAAGACTCCTGGGAGGCAGCCACATACCAAAGTTCGGAATTCTATTTCTGCTATCTTCAGTGCATTTTCCAGTTTTTAACATTTATATATTAGTTTAATGTCTTATAATAGCATTTTTAATCAATAAACTCCATTTTTAAGTTCTGCAATAAATAACGCCATAACACTTCACACTTAATGCACGCAAGACTAAACAGGCAATAATGCTATCTGCAAATACATTAGAATCAGCAGCTCATGAGATGATGCTTTAAAACAAGATTAATATTTAGAATTTAATCAATTAATGATTGTTAAATTTCTAAGATCAGAAACGGACAAGAGTCTAAATGAACAAAAAAAGTAGGAGCGCCCACGTGATTTGCTGTCGGGACGAAGGCTTTCATTATCCATCCCGAGTTATCCCTGAGCTGGTCTTCTTGAACTACTCCTGTCACTTGTATTGCTGGTCCATAGAAATGTCCAGGACATTGATCCACGGTGATGGAAGGAACAGTCAGCCTTATTCTGGCTGGAGGCAGCGTCATCAGTGATGGTAACCCTTGGAGACAATTCAGAGAAAGTCCACTCGGCTGATTCTTGGGATGAAGGCCTTGTATCAGGAGGAACAACCTCGGGCCCATGGCCGCTGGAATACAGATGAGTGAGAGGCGATCTCGAAACATGTAATATCCTGAGGAAGGATCACCAGACCCGAAACGTTAACTCTGTTTTTTTCCTTCACAGATGCTGCAAGACCTGCTGAGCTTTTCCAGCAATTTCTGTTTTGTTTCAAGATTCTGAGGGGATTTGACAAGTGTGGATGCTGAGACAATGGGCAGGATCATACAGAATCTGAATGGCATAGGCCTTGGCAAGAATTATGGCAGAATTCAATGAGATGATTATCTCGATGTGGAGAGCAACTCACTCCATCTTTGATGCATTTGCTGATTGCTGAGGTGAGTTTCTCCCATTCGCAGCAGTGAGTTGTCAAGTAAGGGGGACTTTCTCTTATTAAACGCCTCGTTAACACCCCAACTCAACTCACTATATTCAGCTTCCAAACTCGCCAAGCAAGCTAGACATTGAGATGGAAATCGAAGCGGGTACCTGGCAACTTCAGCTCCACTTGCTCTGAAGAACATGTTTTTCTGATGAAGGGTCTAGGCCCGAAACGTCAGCCTCTCTGCTCCTATGATGCTGCTTGGCCTGCTGTGTTCATCCAGCCCTGCACCTTGTTGTCTTGGACACCTGGCACTGACTTCTCAGGGCATGTTCAATAGGCATTGGCCAAACACACCACCCCATCCATGAACATCGGCATCTGACATGTGCCAGCCTCTGCGAACCCTCTCTGATCCACTTACAGGGCACTTCTGTACCTCAGGCTGTACTGGTAACTCTCATTGTATCACTGCAGCAAGGATATTGTGTGCTCAGAGACACACACCCAGCTCGCCCCAGGCAGTATCTCTGGGTTCCTCACTCTCTATCATAACCCCTGAGATGAACATGGGAATTTCTTTGCTCAGAGGATTATAAGGTATAGAAGTTTTTTTTTCCCCCACAGAGACTACTTGAGACTAGGCCATCAAATATATTTGAGTTAGACAGAGATCTGATCCAAAGGCAGTTAAAAATTACAAGGTGACAGGCAGTAAGTGGAGTTAAGCCCCTAATCCGATCAACCGTAGTCTTACTGAATGGCTACTCCTGCTTCTATTTTTTGTAATCTTACAGCAGTAGCTGAATGAACCTCAAAGAAGATGCTGATTTTCCGACTGGCTTTATTTTAACACTGGCATAAATGTGAAATGGACTGCAGTAACATCAGCTAAAGGTCCAGAGCTTTTGTGGCTCAATAAAGCTATGCAAGCATTTCCATTAGTTGCTTTTCTGAAACATGTGAAGCATGTTTGATCAAAGATACTGCAATTCCTGTCAGCAGCAATTTTAAGTGTTGTGAGCCAGAGATTCTGAGCTGTTTTGGTTTCTGTAACACCTCACTGCTGTAAACTTTAACACACTCTGACACTGTTTTGGGGAAAAAAAAGTGGGAAGAGAATTGTTTTTAAAAGTATTCCAATCGGTGATGCTTCTGAACAGCTGCATTGCGATAGAAAACCCTGAATTTCACTTTGACACGAGCAGCAAGGTAAGCGGACGGTCTCCCAGCCTATTAATCAGCGCTTAAACATCCATTGTCTCACTTGTATCGCTCGATATTTAGTAACAATCACAAGCAAATCCTGCCTGACAAAGTGGGTCAAATGTAAAATTCCTGCTCTTCCTCCTGAAAAGGAGCGGGTTGTCCTCCTTCAGGGCAGCTCTCATTTCTAGTTGCATTCTCCAAGGAGGAGGGCTGGTTTGTTCTGGGCCAGAGCCGCGACACTGCAGTGAAGGCATGCAGAGGTGGGGTACGTGAGGTCAGACTGCAGGAAGAAAATTCCTGGAACCCAGGAGAAGACCTGGAGGAAAGGCCGGAGGAGGAAGGAGGCGAGTCGTCCGTGGACAGTGAAGCCCTGAAGAGACCTGCCTTTGTCCAGGTGCTACAGTCACCCAGACGGGGAAGAGCGCCCCCTAATTCTTTGCCCAAGCCGTTCAGTGTCGAGGGCACGGAGAGGGCAGCAAGGTCAGAGTGTGATGTGGTCAAGCCGGTGTCGACATCGGTCTCTTCCAGGCCTTCGGCCGCCATCCCAGAGGTGACATCCCGAGCTGGGACCCGAGCCTGTTGCCCATGGTTGGCCAGCGAAAGGGCCAGCTCCCCCAGTGGCGATGAAGATGACGAAGAGCACGATGAGCTGCTGAAGGTTGGCAGACAGAACAAGGACTTGCTGCGCTGAGCTACCCGGGAAACCCTGGAGGTACCGGTGCCCGAATCCCCTCGACAAGCAATCCAGATGTCCTCCTGGGATGTCCCTCGGAGATGGCTGAAGCCGCTGGTGTGGCGTGGTTTGTGGTTAGTCTGCCAGTGGTGCCGGTACCTGTCAGGGGCACATCCCAGGCACTGGGGGAGTGAGCTACTTGCAGGTCGGCAAGAACTGCCCCTTGCTGCAGTGGATTGGGCAATGATGTTCCTCTTCCAAGAGTTCCTGGACAAACTGTGTACCTGTAAACAAAAAATAACATTTCAGCAACAATCTTTCATGGGCACACTTATGTACCTTTGTGTCGACAGTATAGCATCAATTTTCGCTGCTCCATTGTCTTAGTTAGCAAAAATGGCCTCAAGGTGGGCACCAGCGGCCTTAATGCCCTCTTCATTATCAGGTAACGGGGAGAAAGCTGGAGAATGGGACTGAGGAACTTATCAGCCATGATTGAATGGTGGAGCAGACTCGATGGGCCGAATGGCCTAATTTCTGCTCCTACATCTCATGGCCTTATTATGGTCTAATGCCTTCTTATGACTGGCACCAGTTTGAAAGGGGCCTTCATGCAGGTGTTTGAAGCACCTGCCTGTTTCAGGAGCGAAACATGTTTAAATATGGAGATGTGGGTCCTGTGCTGTGAACAGGATGACACCTGCCAGTTAAGGTCAATCCTGCTCAGTGCAAAATGCCAGGCAAGTTTCCCAAAAAGGGCCAGCCCAACTTATGTATTGAATCAATTTTCTGGGCCTTGGAGAAGGACTGTTCCTCCAAGCACCAACTAAAAGAATCTGCTGCCCCTTGCCACCCTGGGACCCCAAACCCTCTCTCTTCCCATTATAATAAAAGTTTGGAACAATCTCATTTGGGCACAGCTTTCCAACTGTATGTTGATTGGGGGAATCCACCTGAAGGATCAAACCTTGTGTCCTCTGTGTTGAGGAATTCCAATGTTTCCTCGTTTTACTTTTGGGCATTCTACCTCATGAGGACCACTGTGCCCCCCAGTGAAGGGCAGGACCTTGGGTCTGAGCTCATGGACTTATGACAACAGTGACCATGTACGTGCAGGGGAGATGGGAACTGAAAATTGGCCAGCTTTATTCCAGATGTTCTTCACTGCTAATTTTGTCGCCCAAGTGGGGAAGATGAGAAATACCCACGTGGGCTCTCGCGAAGTGATCTGATTCAGGTTTTCAAGATTATCAAAGACACACGCACTATACATGTAGGTTGAGTTTGAGGTGATGGGCTAAGCTAGAACTAAAGCCACCCATAAAAGGTGGAGTAAGGTTGCATATTGATTTCAGCTTACCACAGGGTATGACCTCCTCTACTGGGTATAAATGTACCAACCATAATACATAGATTGGTAGAACATGATATGGGTTCTTTACTCAAGGGTAAGACTATAACGCAGATGAGGCTAACTGGGAAACTAATATGCCAACATCCTACTTTTGCTATTTGCAAACTGACCATCAGGCATGGGACTATAACATTTTATCTGGTGAAGATGTTAATAATTGACAGCAATTTGAATATATCCTCTTAAAGGTGTATGCACACCACACCTCAACTATAACACTGTCAGCACCGACGTCATTCTGGTGATCCTGCACTGCACAGTTTCCACGGCCAACACTTTCTTCCGGTGATGCACCATCTAGGACTGAAGATAATAATGCAGACAGGGGCTGAGCAGAACCTTGATAATCTGTAACATATCTCACATCCTTTCACATTGCAATCCCTTTGACATGCATAGCGAGATTCCATTAATCCTTTTACTGATTTCTTTATACATGTCCTGATAGATGACCTTCTGACAAAAGAGCTACAAACAGCATATGGAAGGCAACAGGAAACGATTCTAGACGGAAATGCAATGGATTAGAGAAGCTTGCGGAATTGGCCAAGTTTCCTTTGTTTTGCATTTACTTGGATTAGAAACGATTGGTTGGTGGACACATTGCCCAAGAGATATGTGGCTTTTCCTTATGACTCAGGGTTACTGTGCTATGATCCCTGTTAGAACATGGAGCTGGCCAGCTTGGTATCATCAGCTGGTTGAGACTGGGCCGTTCCATTATGGTGGGTGCAAACCAGACAGGTGGGAGATTAACCCGCTCCCCACCCCCTCTGCTTAATCATTTTGCCAACAGCGTAAATGTGGATGTACTTATTATTGTCCCTGTTAGAACACTGCTTTGCAGAAATCTACTACCAGAGAGTGAGTCAGTATGAAGCATTAGTTCAGTGATACAAACTCCTGCTGCTGAGCAAGAGGTTATTGTTTCAAATCTCGCCCTGGCCATGCGAGTACAAACTCAGGCTGACTCTCCCAGTGCAGTACCCTCAAGTGCCTTTAGTGACTGAGACGTGAAACCAAGTTCCCACCTGCCCCCCTCAGGTGCATGTAAAAGGGCCTGTGGCCTTATTCTAAGAAGAACAGGTGAATTCACCTCCATGTCAAGACCGGTTAATAAAGACAGGAGCTCCACTCACATTGCTGTCTCTGGGATACACTGTGGTCATTGGCTGCTACACTACAATAGTGCTACTAGCCTAAAAATCCTTCTTTAGTTATGAAGTGTTAACGGATGCCCTGAAGTGGAGAATGGTGCTACACAAATGCAACTTCTTTTCCTTCGCTAATGTAATCTGTATTGCATTCAATTGGCTGTCTGTTTAAAACTAGCAGCAAATGTTGCACAGTCAGAAACAAAGATCAGTGTAAAGAGTTAAGTCTTTTCAATGAAGAAGTGTCCTTCTTTTTCTGTCAATTTCTCTTCAGTAATGTTTTCCTGGATTGTAACCCTATGGCGACAGTGTGCAAACAGCCGATAGTTGCCTTATCTTGCTCTGTAGGTTGGTTTATTTTTCCTACATCTGCCAGTCCATTAGAGGGACAGCTTGTGCCATTTCATGACTGATATTGAGATCACGTCTTTATGGCTTGATTTACTATGACTTGCGGAGACGGTATACTCCTCCAATACCTTATGATGGGGCAGTGGATTCAGTAAATGGCTCCCATTTCAAAATGGGGACTTTGTTTAGCTTCATTGTGGAAGGTGGTCAGTGCTAAGTGTGCGCTACATGATGTATAAATCGATTCCCTTCCACAGCCAAAGCCTTTAAAGCCTATTACTTCCCTCAGGGTCACCTAGCACTGCCTGGTATCTCCCACTCGTGTGTGCCAGAGAGAAATGGCTACTGACTGAAACAACAAAGACCATTTGTCTCCTTGGCCACTCAATCTACTCAGTCAACACAGACTGACATCAGAGAGACTTAGCAACGACTTAAAGCTGTTATCAAAAGGCCATACCCACAGCAGACTGGGTTACTGAAATATTTCTACTGCTAAGCATCGCCGATCTTAGGAGAACATTTAACCAATAAATGGAACCCCAAGTGTTTATTGAATCAGAGTTTACTCCGGCCATTGGTTGACCATCTGGGTAAGGACAGAGGGCCATTATTCAGCAGTGGGAGCCCACCCCCCAACCACCAACCGCCATTTTGAGTCCATGGCTCTCACTATACTTGCAAGGGGGAGGCTGTACCGAGACAAGCTGACACGTGGCACTCCCATCTTGTGACCCTTCTGTGGTATCAAATGTTCCCGCATGTGATTCCTACCGGGGACACAGGAATGATAGCACTGGTTGTGGTTTAGTCGATAATGCTTCCGCCCAAGTTGTGCTTTCAAATCCCATTCCAGGTACTGCACTTGAGCACAAAGCCCTGGCTGGTATTCTAGTGCACTACTGACCAGGTATAGCACTGACCGGAACGCCATTTCTCAGTTGAGACCTGTTAAAGCGAGACTTCCACTGGCCCTCGAAGATAGACGTAAATCATCACGTGACAATATTTCAAGAACAGCAGGGGAGCTTTCCTTGGTTTCCCGGCCAATATTTATCCCTCAATCAACATCACAGACAAAAAAAAATGTCCAGTTATTACCAATTGCTGCCCTGTGTATAACTTGGTTGCTGTTCTCCCTACATTACAACAGCGATTAAATTTCAAAAGCACTTCATTGGCTGTGAAACACTTTGGCGCTTCTTGAGCTTGTGAAGAGGTGCTACATAAATGCATATCTTTCTTTCTATCAATCCACAGAATCTCCGTAGCTGATCTGTTATCTCCACTTTGTTTAACTTGCTTGGATCCCTTGACATCCTCAGCCATTACCTTTAAAAATTCCAGTTGACCTCCAACATGCACAGCTTTGTTGGAGAGAAAGACCCCCCAACACACACACAGTAAATCTGGGGAAGTCAGGCCTATTTATTTTTATTATTTCGTACAGTAGGCAAATTGTTCCATCAAGGGGCTGGATAATTGGAATGTCAGAGTTGAGCATTTAAAAGCCTGAAGACAGGGTCACACAATTACAGACCCATGGAGCCACTTTGAGGGTATGAACAAATATTACAGGGGTGGGGAGAGCAGACTCTGCCCAAAGGAAGGAACAGCAAACACTATCTGTGATTCTCCTGCCTCAAACTGCCAATGTCTGCTTAGTGTGAGAAAGGACTTCATCCCTAAATATATTGTGTGAGAAAGGACTTCACCCCTAAATATCTGAGTTCTTGTTTGAAAATTGTTCGCTTGATCCTGGATTCTGCCAGCAGAGGGCACAGTTTCTCTGTCCGTCCTACTGAATGCCTCAACTTTCAAAACTCAAGGGAGTACAAACCAATCGTAGCCTCATAACTTAACCCTTTAAGCCATAGTTTCATGTTAGTGAATCTGCAGCTGTTCCAAGGTCAGTCAACATGCTGAGATGCTAATGCTGTGGCTCAGGTCTAGCTGGACAATACAACCATAGCACTGAGCTCTCACAGTTCAGCATTGTGTAGGTTTGAAAGGTAATCAAAAAAGGCTGAAGAGTGACACTGACATTTTAGCAGCCTATTTGATTACCTTTCAAACCTGCACAACTGCTGAATAGTGATTTGAGAAGACAGACAACCAAAACCCTAGTTTTTAGTCATTTTTTAAAAACAAAAATACACCAAGTGTACACTAGACACGATATGGCGATGTGTGAATGAGTGTGTCTATCTGTACATGTGACAGTGTACATGTTTAAGTGTAAATGTGAGAGTGCCTAATTTTGTTCTTGAAAATTGTGAGCATTACCAGGAAGACAATCCCATGGTATCACGATCTCTGTCAATGAGACCAGCATTTTGTCCCACATTTAGTCATTAATTTAAGTTCCTTCAGCTGCTATAGTAGGATTTGATCTCTGTCTCTGCAGCACTCTACCCAGGTCCCTAGTTTACTAATCCGGTAACACTACCACGTTGCTACCATTGTGTGCACGTCAGTACAAGTTTATATAGAGTCATAAAGTCATACAGCACGGAAACAGACCCTTCGGTCCAACTGAACATAATCTCAAACTAAATTAGTTCCACCAGCTTGATCCTGGCCAATATCCCTACAAACCTTTCCTATTTAAGTATTAAGTGGGTTTTAAACATGGTGATTGTGCCCACATCCACCACTTCCTCTGGAAGTTCATTCCACACGCAAACCACCCTATAAAAACTTGGCCCCTCGTGTCTTTTTTAAATCTCTCTCCTCCAACCTTAAAAGTATACTCCCTAGTCTTGAAATCCCCATCTTAGGGGAAAGACACCTACCATTAACCGTACCTATAACCCTCATGATTTTATAAACCTGTATAAGGTAACCTCTGAACCTCCTATGTCCCAGTGAAAGAAGTCCTAGCTTATCCAGCCTTTCTTGATAATGCAAACTTTCCAGGAACAGCAAACACTGTCCATGATTCTCCTGCCTCAAGCTACCCAGCCCTGCCATTTCTCCTGCCACCAGTTCTAAACAAAAATTCTTTCCAATGCCCACTGATGTCCTGATGCGTTGACAGAGAAACCAGTAGTAGACCACTTGGCTTTTTAAGCCTGCTCCATCACTTAAATTGATCATGCCCGATCCTCCATTTCAATGTCATTTTCTCTCCATACTCCTCGATATCTTTAATATCTGAACATTTTTCACTACTCAGTGACCTGGCCTCCACTGCCTTCTGTGGTACAGAATTCCACAGGTTCACCACTGTCTGAATGCAGAAATGTTTCCTCAACTCAGTCCTAAATGGTCTATCCCATATCCTGTTCCAGGGAGAAATATCTTGCTTGCATCTAGTCTGTCCAGCCCTGTTAGGATTGTATACATTTCAATCAGATCCCCTCCTGTCCTTCTAAACTCTAGCAAACACAGGCCCATTAAACCAATCTCTCCTCATACAACAGCCCTGCTATCCCTAGGAAATTTCACTGTACTCCCTCTATGGCAATTATATCCTATCTTAGATAGAAGACAAAAACTGCACACAACTCTCTGCCTATGGTCTCACCCTGGCCCTGTTTAACTGCAGTAAGACACCCTTCTGAGCTCAAATCCTCTTGTGATGAAACCCAATTATACCATTTGTCTTCCTTGCCTGTTGAGCAGGAATGTCCAAGTAATCTTTAATTCCTGGAGAATTCCAAGACAATCTGAGAGGGCTGAGGCAAGCTTAAACTGATCCTTGTCGCTACTCTTTTATTTTAAAGTTATTGATTCCCACAGCGGATTTGACAGCAAATTTAAGTCAGTTGTGTGAATTATTACCAAATAAACTGCAGGGCCCACTCCCCACCCCCAAGACATACGCCCTTCCTGATTTGTCTGGCCATAAGGGTGGGCAGCTAGCTGCCATGTTGGCACACATGTTGCCAACTGCACCACAGGCTATGAAACGACCCATTGAGCTGCTGGGAGGTCTTCCCCGAGGATGGAGGGATGGGCAGTTAGCTCTGACAGCTGGGTATAGTGAGACCCTGGGGCGACACGGTGGCTCAGTGGTTAGCATTGCTGCCTCACAGCACTACGAACCCGGGTTCGATTCCATCCTCGGGCAACTGTCTGTGTGGAGTTTGCACATTCTTCCCGTGTCTGCATGGGTTTCCTCCGGGTGCTCCAGTTTCCTCCCACGGTCCAAAGATGTGCAGGTTAGGTGGATTGGCCGTGCTACATTACCCATAGTGTCCAGGGATGTGCAGGCTAAGTGGATGAGCCATGGGAAATGTGGGGTTACAGGGATAGGGTCTGGGTGAGATGCTCTTCAGAGGGTTGGTGTGGACTCGATGGGCTGAATGGCCTGCTTCCACACTGTAGGAATTCTACAATCCATTACAGGGTGCTAGTAGGCCCCCCTCCCTCTGTGAGACAGATCCACAACAGTGGGGAGTTAGAAATTTCACCCTTCTTTTTAAAGGAGCTAATTATGTGATAACAGTGTTCTCTTTCTTTTTAAAGGCTAGACAAAGCATTTGCTGGCCCTTAGCTAAAGAAGGCAGATTACCTGCAACAGGAGCTTGTTTCCATCATAGTCTTCCGTCTGCCACCTCAGCTCACTGATTGGGCTGCAGGGGTTAGGCAGCAGAGGGATGAGGTGTCCAATGTCATGAACTCTGAACTCGAGCAAGGCCAATTCGGTGGGGGAGGTGCCCTGACCCTTCGGGAGCCTCTTCAGCGAGAGCTGAACATCAACCTCCGCGTTGGAATAGACGGTGAAGAACACAAAGTCCGGCTTTCGCTGGGACGACTCTCTCCTCAGGATCAGCTGGTACATCCTCGCCATGTCGACAAAGTTGTCAAAGCTGCAGTAAATGGTGAAGCGGACAATCTCCTTCCCATAGTGCACCTGCCTTACAGCCCAGAGGGCATTGTGATTGGCCAGAGTGAAGAAGTCCTGGTTCCGGGGCATGTAGGGAAGGATTCGACCCTTGACCATCTCGGTGTGGTGGTACTCCCACGGTGGGTGGAGGAAACGCTCGTGGAGCTGGGAAATCTGCTGCCCGCACTCTTCATGGATGAAGACAATGATGGCCAGAGCCGGGTGGGCAGCACTGCCGCCGCTCCTCGTCCCCCGTGGCTTTGAGGATCCGCGCTCGGAGGCAATGAAGAGCCGTAGCTTGGGGTTAATCCACGTTACAAGGCTGTCAACTGCGCTCTGCAGGGCTGCCGCATCTCCTGGGTTGGTGATAATGTGCAAGGTGACCAGGAATGGATCTGCCATGCCCTCCAGGTCGCCTGTTCGGGGGAGAGAGCATAAGAAGGGAAACGCGTTTGAGTCAGTGTGGCAGCAGAATCCCACAGCACAGAAAGAGACCATTTGGCCCATTGTAACTGGGCTTGTTGTTTGAAATTTGTTCCACTTGCCTGCTGCCTCCCAACACCAATGTTTCCTTTTCAATCTTACATCCATTGCCCTCATAAATACCGTCTCCCATCACTCTTCCCAGCAGTGCATTCCAGATCGCACCAAGACTCACTGGAATTGGTCCTGCCCTGGTAATGCCTCTGGAGTAATGGGAAAAGTAATCGATCATTCACACTAGCTGGATTCAAACAAGAAGAACGCCTGACCTGTGAGATTCTTGACAGATAGTGAACAGGGTAAATGAATTAAAAATCCACTCCCATCAGATGCAATCAATGCGAACACACACAAGAGTTAATAAAACAGGAAGGCCTGAAAGTTCATGATGTCCTTTCCATTTTCTCACAGAGCTGGAATAAGTTCTGTATCTAATCTCCAATTTGGTGTTGAGATCACATCCTAGGTTCTCAATACAATATAAAGTTGGTGCAGCATCTAAATACTGTAGCAGTTCCAGCATACAGTTATCCAATCCACTCACCCAACATACACTGATAGTTCCAATTGCATGTAACTGTCCTGTTCCCATTTTATGTCCTTTTCTTTCAACCACAGAGCCCAACTACTCTTCACACAGTTACTTTCAAAGTAAATTCTTCAGCCTCTTAACCTTGTACAAAGAGGTCTGCCCTCGCTTATCAAGCTCTGACATTTAATCTTGTATCTATGACCTCTCATTCTTGAGTCAGAGAGTCATAGAGCATGGAAACAGACACTTTGCTCCAACTCGTCCATGTTGACGAAATATCTTAAATTAATCTAGTCCCATTTGCCAGAATTTGGCCCATATCCCTCTAAACCCTCCCTATCCCTATACCCATCCAGATGCCCCTTAAATGTTGCAATTGTACCAGCCCCCACCACTTCCTCTGGCAGTTCATTCCATATATGCACCACACTCTGTATGAAAAAGTTGCCCCTTAGGTCCCTTTTAAATCTTTCGTCTCTCATCTTAAACCTATGCCCTCTAGTTTTGGACTCCCCCACCCTGGGGAAAAGACCTTGACTATTTGCCTTATCCATGCCCCTCATGAGTTTATAAACTTCTATAAGGTCACCCCTCAGCCTCCAATGCTCCAAGAAAAATAGCCCCAGCCTATTCAGCATCTCCCTATTGCTCAAACCCTCCAACCCTGGCAACATCCTTGAAACACTCAAATACAAGAAACATTATTCCCACCTACTCTGCCCTATTCATACTTATAAATACTTCATATTGCCCCCTAATCAGCGGCATTACCCTTCAAGTTCTCTTTGTCTTATTCAATATAATAACATACACATTATTGGACTCTTTAATAGGTAGAATATTAGTCAAAGATATTCCAGTCAATGTTATCTGAGTGTCCGTTGTACCTTTTTAAATGAATTAGGCAACAGGATAATGGTGGGAATAGTATAATATTGGAAAATCCATTTGGCCCTGGTGTCAGGCAGGAAACTTCTTGGTCATTGGTTCATCATCCAAACTTGGGACTTCATCACAAAATCCAAGCTGCCATTTCAGTGCCATACTGAGGGAGTGCAGCACTGCTGCAGGTGCCGACTTGCACACAAAACATTTAGCCAAGGCCCCTGGTCCTCTCCAGTGCTGGTAAAAGGTTACTTGCTAATATTCAAATAAGATCAAGGGAGTTATTTCCAATGTCATGGCCAATTGTAATTCCTCAAATAATACTATTAAAATAGGATATGTTGGTCATCTGTTTCAATGTTATGTGTAGACTGTTAGGTTTTCTACATTTCAACAGCAAGTTCATCTTAAAATTATTTCACTGCCTTGAAACGATTTTGGGCACATGGACTGCAGGACACCGAGTGAGATCACTGTCCCTGCTAATTCTGTAAGCGTGTTGTGGGGTCTTTCATATCCACCCAAGCTGGAAACTGAGTTAGTATCACTCTTTATTTCACTTCAACTCTCACAGTAACCCTGCTGTCAATCTCATTCATTACACATAACCACGAAGCACAAGCCACAATACCTTTACTCACTTGTCTCTTGTAGGTACTGCCAGGATATTCACCACCTCCATGGAGAATTGGCCAGTTATGCCGGAAACCACCATCTCAATCTTCCTATACCTTCACCAGCTCAGATACTGACACCTCAGTCAGCCTTAGAAAGTTGGGAAGCACAATCTGATGAGCACCTCACTGAAACAGCTCCACAGCTGACTGAAGATACACCTTAGGCTGTTGGACTGCTGGGGACAGGCACTTGTTCACCCCTTGGCAGGAGAGGAACCAGTGGAGTCAGTAATCAGGGACTTGGTCTGCATGTGCAGGGAGGAACAGAAGCGGCAGACAAGTATATGAGATGCAATGGCCCTCATTACCAAGAAGCTCCAGGACTGTTGCAGCTTATATGACTGTCTGGCTGCCTCCATGGACAGGTTGGCAGTTGCCATGCAGAGCTAGATCCGGTAACCTCATGGTCTGCTGGAGAGGCGCACACACATCTGCACTCCATCACCCCAGCAATTGGTCCTCAGGACTGAAGACGTGGCGATGGAGGGGCAATTGTGGGAATCTGGCATGCATCCTCATACCCCTCCCTTGCAAGGAATCAGGGCAGTGCTAGGAGGCACCCAGCTGGATGAGGAACCATGTGTAGGCCCCTTGGGGCTCTTCTCTCAGGACACACCAGAGGGGGCCGAGCCCTTCACCCTAACCCTAACCCTAACCCTTGAAAGTTCAAGCCAATGGGTGTTTACTTGCCTGTAGAAAGAAGGCAATCAGTATGTTTGGCTAATGGCCCCTCAGTCACCTAACTAAACCTCCAGGGCCAACAAGTTCTGCTGCTGGGAAGGCTCCCTTCACCCCAGCTGCAGAATCAGGGACTACACTGTAACATAGTCGGAGGGAGAGAAAGAAGAAAACCTACTGAGGGCACTCTGGTGGCATCAGTCACATTGTACTGTACATGAATTCTTAATTTGGCACTACATCTGTTTGTTTGACAGACTGTGTAGCCTGAATGTAACTGTGGCAGCATGAAACCTCACTTCAGCTCCACACAGGAAGTACCATGGTTCGACATCTGTGTTAAGAAACTGCTGCAGCAGGTGGAAGCAAAACGGTCACAACAAACAGAGGGCAGTGAGTCCTGGTGCAGAGGCTCCCCAAACCTGGCAGTCAGCTGAGGTAGTAGGATCTGCAGATTCTGGTTCGGCCTAGCCGCTAGTCTGCTGAGGTTTCCAGGTAACCACCCCGACTCGCATTCTCGGTGTCAAGCTCGTTCAGCATATTTGCTCAGATACAAAAGCTAAATATTAAGAAGGTGAGCTCTGGCATTAATAAGGCATTTAACAAACTCTAATCCCCCCCTTAATTGACAACTTGCCACTGCCTAGTGAGAAACTCAGCTCATCACTGAACAAAACATAAAAGATGGAGTGAGATGCTCCCAGCCCTGGCTGGGCTTATTTGCGTGATTATGTCATAAATCTAGCCACAGAAAACCTTCACATGGACTTCTAGGGTACCTCAGGCATAGCTCACACACACACACTCACTCACACACACACACACACACACAGACACACAAACACAGACACAGACACACACAAACTTACCCACACACCCACACACAGATAGGATGCCGCTTTTGCTACATTATAACAGTTACTAGATGCTTTAGCTGTAATGTGGCTCAGGATGTCCTGAGGTAGAGAAAGGTGCGATCTAAATGCAAGTTATTTCTGTTTTGAATTTCACCGCTGGGTAATGAGCTGAACTCTGCCGAGTTTCTGATTCAGTCTTAGGCTGCTGTTTCAGTCTGGGATCTTACCAGAGTGGAGCTCCTGCTAAATGCACTGCCCACAGGGATTTTGCCCTGAGCTCCTGCTGGTTGAGACTGGATGCTAGCAGTGCTGCACTGTTCGGGGTTGGAGCACTGTTCGGGGTTGGTGCTGCTGTCTTTTGGATACTTACCAAAGGACCCATGTGCCCACCCACCCAGACACCAAATGTTTTTCAAAGAACAGTATGGGAGTTTTATACATCTAACCCTCCATCAACACGAAAAAGAAAGCAATATCCAATCCCTTATTTATTTACAGACCTTGTTGTGATCTGGTAATTTAATTGTGGCAAAAATAAAATGAGTTGACCCAAGCATCTTCATGTTTTAAATATTTCATTAATATTGCGTCCATTCTAAACAGCGTGAAATGCGACAAGCTGCTGTTATCTTTCACCTTAACTGTATTTATTGAGAAGGGGTGGTCTGTGGACAGTTTTCCATGTCGTGCCTGATATTCTACTGAGGAGACTATCATGGAGTCAGTGAGAGGCTGGAGATATACTGGTATTCCCTGCAGTTGGGAGTATGAACAATACTGGCAATGTCGGAATCTCTTACCCATCCCTGAGAGATATAACGGTGTATTCTGCTGGTCCACATCAGAGGGCATGAAGAAATGTCCACAGAATGAGACTCCAGAGCCGGATACACACCAGACCAGGTAAGGGCAGCAAACTTCCAGATTTCCTTCTCGCAGGGAACTCAGTGAAGCAGGTTAGGGGTTTTACGACGGTCTGACTGTTTCATGGTCACTCCTCAGTGCCACCTTTACAATTTCAGATGTTAGAATTCAAATGATCCAACTGCCACAGCTGGACTTGAACTCACAACCTGAAGATTATTCGTCCAGGTATCTGCTGGGGTTACAGCTCCAGTAACATAACCATGTCCGATTCCGCTGGGTGACACATGGCGTATTGGGACAGCAGAACAGGTCAGCTATGGAAGAACAGCCCGAAGGAATAAATAAATAAATGATGAACAAACTGAAGAGCAAGACAAGTTTAAGAGGATGGATGCCTGTCCCTATAAATAATGTACATCGTATCAGTCAATACGATTTATTTCAAGGGATGTATAAATTTAAATTGGTATAACTGAAACCCTCTGAGATTCCTTAATATTCATTCATTTAATGAAAGACGGGTTGAAAAATGCACTGTGTCTGGACACTGAGGGTGAAGTTTGATCCAGGCTCTGTTTTGTCTAACATTACCAAGTCGATTTCACCATTCTGGGTATTAGCATGATATTGGTGCGATCACCATTTCCACTCATTGATTCTGGAGGCAGGGGGACATGTGATCAAAGGTGGCCTTCAAAGTTGATTTGAGCACAATGTGGTCTTTGAGAATACTTCCCCCGCCAGCACTGAATCAGTTTCAGAAGGAACAAGGATGTCAGAATAACTCCTACCCTTGCCTGAATGAGTGTTCCCAGTGTGTGGGGTTGGGAAATCTAACAATGATTGTTGAAGAACACTTCCTCATTCTTCTCTTACGTTACTACTCCTTTCTCCCCTCCTTCACTATTAATATGCCGTCACTATTGAAATGCAAGGGTCTGGTTCCAGTTAAAATCAACTGAGGTGGAAACAGTTGGGTTGGAGATTTAGCACCATAGCTGCCCTACAACCTCATCCCTGACCTTTAGACTGCCGTTTAATGTAGTTTTACTTCTGCAACTGCACTTGATCTGGATTGAAGATCTACAAGGACTGAAAATGGTGACTGGTACAAGCCATGAATCTCCACTGACCAGTGGCTGGCAGAGATGGGGCTGTACTTAGGTGAGAAACACACCTGAACATTAACTGAATGAAGTAACAATTGGTATTGGGCGACAGAAGATCTGCGGCCCAGTCTACACATTGACGGCCAACTGGGACCAATGTGAATGGTGATACTGACTTGCTATCA